GTCCGCTTTTGAGTTGAGTGGATGGGTGTCTCCCTTTGGACTCCTCGCTTTCAGTATCCATCCTTTCGGTGACACCTCCAACTGATCGCAATGCTGCACTGAATTAAATCACATGAGAGTTGGAACTCATTAGGTCACACTTTATAGGAAATCGTTTTACATGTTTGTTTAGGTAGAACTGTTTACTGATGAGTGTCATGACCCTTTTAGTATGTGATAAAGTGTGACTGTTCAGTTGTGTGGAAATTTCCGAGACCGACTTTCTGTTAACTTAGGCATGAGTCAGTAATTCACTGTTCTGTTGTTGAACGGAAATGCTTCCGAAAATCATTTCTAATCATTCTTTAATTCTTGAGATACCATGTCTGGAGTCTTTTTCTTGAAGAACAACTTCCCTTACTATCCTTATTCACACCCAGTAGTAACCGCAGTCAGAATGATCTAATTTGAGTAATGGGTTGTAGTTTCGATTCTTTCCAGAGCTTTCACCACTCACTGAGCAATTCAGGGTTAGTCAACTCTTAGATAAGGTTATAATTTTCGAGTCTCTGCTTCTCATGTTTGGCGTTTTCATTATTATGTACTTCTCTTGTGTTATTTTAGATCACAAGAAAACTTCCGTGGTTGCCAAACTGGGCGATTGTACCCACTTTTTAAAAAAGAGTTTCACACCCACTTCGGTTTAGCCATAATCTTGTTTTTTTGTTCTTCCTGAGTGAACGAAACGAAATCGAGCTGTGGTACTTAAAGGGTGTCAGCTTCAGCATAGCTGATATACTTTGTTTGTAGAGCGAGTGGTTTTTGGCGTGAGTAAGTCGATGAGGAAGACGAGGACGAGGATGAGTCAACGTGGGAGGGAAACGGGCGGAGGTCTGGCGCCGAGTGCTCCGAGTTCCACGACCGTCGACGTCACCTCTATGAGCTGCCGATGACTCATCATCATCTGGCGGCGCACCCATGCGGCGTAGCTCGCACGCATCGATTTGCTACCGTTCAACTTTTAACGGAAGAAAAAAAAATCTCATTTACTGCTTAGTCATTGCAGTGAGAAGCGTTTTTACTTTTCAGAAGAAAAGGGAGAAAAAGTCTATAACATGTGAGTAGTAAGTGTTTCTTGAGTTGACTTTTTAAAATAATATTCTGGGTATTCCTCCTGTAGGGCGCGTGTGGCGCAGTGGTTGGAGACACCACTGCGACACACACGTGGAGTGGATCCCCGCGCCCATGGCCCACTAAGCCCTCCATCCCTCCGGGGTCGGCAGATTGGTACCAAACTTGTCTGGGAGGATAGCAGTACATCGGTAAGCCACCGCGAGTCATTGTAAAGGCCAGATATACATTCAGTCACCTCCAACGATACTTATTGAAGTCGAATGCATGGCGCTTCCCTAAAGGGGTTGATCAACGCCTAGAGCTTCATCCTTTATCCTTTCCTCCTGTATTCATCACCAGTCGGTGGTTTTCTACTATCGGTCTTCTTATTTATCTAACACTTAGATACGTCCGTTTCCAAATATTTCCTATATAGTTGTGATACTAATTAAAGATCTAGTTGAACTTTCTATTTACGGTCTATGCCTTTTTCATGGTAAGGTGTGCTGTGAAGTACATCCAGGGCGATGCTAAGATATGGGCGAAACTCGGAACTTCAGATGGTCTTCGAATCTGCGATTTTCCTTACCAACGGCTCATGTGCTATTCACCACACCGGCCGACACCTCTTGCTTTGCTTTTCTCTTAGGCAGTTTTTTTTTACCCTAACGGTGTTATCAGCAATCACTTCTCAGCAGGAATGATCTGGGGAGCACAAATCGACATTTTTAAGTTAGCATAGCTGAGAGAATGGCAAAGCGAGGGTTTCGGTCGGTATGCTGGATATCGCATGAGTCCTCGCCAGGGATAGTCGGGGTTTAAAATCCAGATGGATTTGCAAGTTTTGCTCATGTCTCGGCAGCCGTTGGAGATGTAGGGTTTCTGTACCGTTCAACGTTTTTCTTCTTTTTAAGTCTTTTTCAATATCCGATTGATTGTTTACCGCACGTGAGTCTTTCTAACATGACGAATTCAGATAGTTCTTATTCATTATTATTATTATGGACTACTACTACATCTGACTACTACAAGGGCGCGTGTAGCGCAGTGGTTCGAGGTGCCACTGCGACACACGCGTAGAATCGATCTCCCTGCCCATGGCCCACCAAGCCTTCTACCCCTCCGATGTCGCCAAATTGGTACCAGACTTGTCTGCGACGATAGCAGCAGTAGCTCGATACATCGCTAGGCAACCGCGAATCATTGTGAAGACCAGACATGCATTCAATCACCTCCAAACGATGCTCAATGAAGTCGAATGCATGGCATCTCTCAGGAATTGATCAACGCCAAGAGCTTTATCCTTTATCCCTTTATGACCCTATTAAGAATGGAGTCTAATGCATAACAAATTTCGAAAGGATTTACCTTTTTCTTCTATTGTTTTATAGGAAATGTGATTTTAAAGGGCCATAGTGTTGTTCGTCACAGCTTGCGCACTTCCAGTATGGTCTTTTTTCCTCATTTGAAATCAGCTTAACTTTGACTGTTAACTTAAAGTACTTCTAGGAGCTTACCGGTTTTTTCGAAGTTTGTGAAAATTAGCGACACATCATAGAATTCCTAATTTGTTTAATTCTCAAATACAAATGCCTTACATAGTATTTAACAGATTTTCTCACTTATGCTAAAGTTCTTTTTTACCTCCTTCTGAGATGATTCGTATCTATCGACTACTTCATATCAGAATAGCATCGTAGATTTTCGTATAGTTTCAGTCAAAGAAAGGGATTTTTTGTTATGTTCGTACAGTGGATGGGAGGAGGGAGACATCCTCCCAACGGTTTACCGTCTTATCGTGGCTGAGAGGTGTTCCTGGGTGTCGCACTACGATGTACAGCGGGGGGATTTGTCCCCTCTGCGGGATCTCGCAAGCTGAGAAGGAGTCCGGCGTTTCCATCAGGAAGCCTGGCTAAGAGTAAACCAGTACCAGGATCCACCACCGTCCTGGTATCAAAGTCGCATGGTGGCGAGTCTCCCTGTGATACACAAGGGCTGCGACTGCCTGTGGTGGCGAGGACCTGGGGCAGACTTTGGCCAAGGTGACACCGGGATTTTTGGGAACCACAATGGCTTAACAAGCAAATGTCCGAAAAATGGAGATTATGCTGGAGCGCGCACAACGAGTGAGGACGGGCCGTTCAAGTATCAAGTACCAATTATGTTCGTACAGAAGCGTACTTTTATGCACTTTTCTTGTTCAACTTGCTATGTTTTGTCTTTTTCTAGCTTTCGTCGGTAAATACTTGGAACCATTAATCTCAACGAGAATTCCAAAGCCACTACTTATTGACTCTGAAAACAACTGTTTACCACCAAAAGATTTATAGAAAGCGTTTAACAGTGTTTTACAGAGGATTATCTCTGTGTTATTGTTCTGAGGGAAGCCTCATGTTCTCATAGTCTGTAGCGTTCCTCACAATTTTGAGACCGCACTTCAAAAATGAAGCTTCAAAAATGAAGGGTAGTTTGAGTAGAGCTAGCTAGTCACTTTGAAACTACCGTTGTATTAACTTGTACTTGTTGTAACCACTTTATAGTGCTTGCACTTTGATCTGTAAGTTATACAGTGACAATTCGTAGTCCTACTTCCTGGTGCCATCGGTTTTTTTTTCTTGGCGAAATGTCGAAACCAATGACTGTTTGCGACCGAAAGGGTGCTGAGTCATTGAGAGCGTTTTATCGCAACCGCTGCCAACATTGTCGTCTTGCCAATAAGGCGTTGATGTTTAGTTTCTAAGATTTTCAGGAAAAAAAAACCTTACTAGTTAGTACGTTGTTCATCGATCATTGTATGCCATCCAGAATACCAGGCAGTACTTGTTCTGTTTCGAGTGGAGTTCGATGTCCTGTATTTCTATCCAACTTTTTGAACAAAAGCGGAAGACTTTTAGCCGTCTTCTATATAGATGTTCTTATCAGCCCTTCCTTATCTGCTACTTGGTCGTTTTTTTATCGGTGGTTATCACGCTCATATTTGTGTTCACCTTGATTACTAATATTCCAAACCACACTAACTCTATAGGCATTTCTTCTGGTCTTGGAGTGGTGTTTGATATTTCCAAATTTTATCCATACTGGTTGGATTTTTCACTACTTTCTTGATCCAATAGTTCCATGTTCATCTTCATATAAAATAGCATTGTTTATTTTATATTTTCTATGAGACATTCTGACTACACGGCGTTCAACTTCGGTGGAGGAAAATATGTTTTTGGCTTTAACCCTTCGTCATGATAGACAAATATCTGTTTGATTTGCAGTTTTCCCAGAAAGGGGCCATTTCATCCTAGAATCTTCGAGTTCCTGATGCTTACTAGATCTTGTCATTGGTTGATTGAAACGTATTACTGCTTAGTTACAATAACTAGTTAATCTGAAGGTGTTTTTGTGAACTGATAGCGAGCACTACTGGTTTGAACGACGTGCAGTCGTCTCGGTAGATTAATAATAGGAGTGTGACTCATGGTTTACACGGTTCTATAATCGGCTTCAACAGTTCTCAGAAAAAACCGACGTTCTCATAAAGCTGGTCGAGAAATTTGGCGAATTGTTGTCATTGGTTGTTGTGAAGTATAAGATTAGAATGATAGAAAAGTGCTGATTCAGGACATAATGGACTTTGATATTTGAGTATTTGTTCAGGTATTCGTGGTAGAAAGTGTTGTCGTTAATGCTGACAAAAGAGTGTTGGTGTAACATAGATTAGTTAGACATTTGGGTTATATTGAGCCTAGAATTTCTTTGGAAGGCGTTTGATAACACCCAATTCTCGTGTTTATTCCTTAAATTTGTCGGTGCCATTCATTTTCTCTCTATCTATGGCGAATAAAGTCGTAATACCTATATAATTCCTTGTGGTGTCTGGGTTACTTTTAGTGAGTTAAATTTTTTTCTGTAACAACAGCACATCTGTTGTCACGAAATACTATCCACAGTTCGGCCTACTTAAATCTAATATGAACAATAATGAGAGGTGCGAAGCACTGACTGAAAATGTGATTGTTTCAGGTGGTTTCCAGAATTTTCGTCTGCAATTCCCACAACAGTGTGAAAGTGAGCATTCTACTAGTGGTATCTGTGGGATGAGCTGCCGACTATCGGCAAGCATCTCACAACCGTGTCTTTCGTCGGTTAGCAGTCACTCGGCCAACGATGGCCCTACACAGATCTTTCCGTTCATGTATCTTGGTAGTCAAAATGACGCAGCAAACACCGAACAGATGAAGGTTCGTGCTTATTTCTTGGTATGCTAGTGGAATAACGACCACGAATGAGTTGAGCTCATCTAGATAGGTGAAATTCTGTGAGCAAAATCGAGAGTTCGTTGAAAGTCCCTGACTGAAAAGGTAGTGAATAAAAAACGGATTGTTTGAAAGAACTGATAAAGGAAAATTTTATATCCTTGTCTTCTGGTAAAAGCTTTTGCAATATGAAGTTTAATTATTATTAACTGCAGGTATTCAAGACATATTTTTCACTAAGTCGGATTTAACATTTAACTATGAAAAATAAATTGTAACATGAAGTTGTCGTTTTGGGTGAGAGTAATGTAGGTTGACGTCTGCTTTGTTTTTGAGACTCATTAGTGATGTTCAAAGACCAAATAGATATCGGCTTTTTTTTGCGTCGTAGAGTTATTTATAAGACCCATTATCACATATTGTGGGGATCACATGACTTCAATCAATCAGATCTTCCTCTTGTATCTCTTAGCCATGAGGGTCTTCGCATTCGCATATACGGGTTCGGCTGCTAAGTGATCATCTTGCCTTCTTCATGAATATCGTTGAATGTTATTAGAACTAATTCACCATGAAATCCTGTGATAACTGTGTTATGCTGTTCCACAGGTCTTCACCACAAGTAGCAGTGAACCTCCTTCAACCTACTTGCATCGGATTAGGTTTTTACTCTGAAAAGTTTGCCACTAGTTTGCCAAATTCGAGTGAACGGTGGGTTTTGTTGATCAGCTGCAGGGTTGAGGTGATGGATTTAGTGTTTGTAATTTGCACGACATTTCTAACCTTAGCACTTCTCGCGCCCTATGCTGTAGTAGTACTGCATAGCATTTCTTATAATATTCAATACCCGAATAAAATAGGATTATTGGCTGATGCTTACTTAAGACATAATGTCAGAATGAGTTTTTTCTTCCATCATGTGAATCGTGACTTAAGCAGGAAATAGTTGAAGTCGCTGTTTGTTTCTGTCCGACATCACGAATGTCTGGTAGGCACCGATTGCATAATAGACCCTGTGGACCCTTCCTTTTTCCTACGAGGACAATCGTCGTCGGGATTCTGCCAAGGGGCTACCCAGAAGTCGTTATTTGTCGTGGTGTGTTGATTGCGCCCAGAGGTAGCTTGTTGGACTGGGCACGAATAGATGGGTGGTTTATTTGTTAGAGGCGACCACAAACCGGCTTTATTGTACCTGCCAGCCACTTTGTCGAGGGCTTTGGAATAGAGTTCGCGCGTACACATACAAAAAACACCCACGCACTTGTCCATGAATATGGCGACGAATATGCGAAGGTTCTTTGCAATGGTTACCCACTCATCGTGACTCTGAGGTGTTAGAGGGTGTCGGGTAACGATGTACAACGGAGGAATTCATACCCCCAGCAGGGTCTCCCAATCTAAGGAGTCCTACTTTTCCATTGGGAAAGCCAGCTAAGATTAAACCAATTGCAGGATCCACCGCCGTCCACGTATCAAACTACTCGCATGATGGCAAATCTCCCTGTGATCTACAAGGGCGGTAACGTGCTTTGGTGGTGACGACCTGGGACAGGCTTTGACAGGACTGATCTCGGGACTCCAGAGAACCACAATAGCTTAACCAGCAAAGCTCCGAAAAAGTGGAAATCATGCTGGGGCCCACACAACCAGTGAAGACAGACCATCCATGTATCTAAGCAAGTATACAGTGGTTCATAGGCTAAAGCGACCTAGGAGAAATATGGTGCTGATCCTTTGGGTTCATTTGCATTTCAAGGATGCGTAGACACGATAGGGTCATTAGTAAAGTTCGGGATAATGGAATTTCCTGGAGTTGAACGTAGCGCGAAGCTATGTGTCATTAGTTGATTGTTACCAAATGGTGTAAATTACAAGACATGTAAATAAATGTTGATGGTTTTCTGAAAAGGAGGCGTGCTGCGACTTTATGGGTAAGGTGTAATGCCAGTGGTCGAAGAAGAATAGCAGTGATAAGATAATGTTTTGCAAGTGTTATTGAAAAGAAGATAAATGAAAAGCTACAGAAACTCTGTCCAAGCGGAGACGAAAGAACAAAAATGAACTCTTTTCATGTGATTGGGCGAATTGATATTCAATGATTCCTGTTCTGATTGTCGAACAGAGGAAGGAAGAATATTATAAGATCCTGTTTTTTTTCATATTGTGATGTTAAAGTGTTGGTTTGTAGTTCTGCACCAAAAGTTTAATATATCAAAGGTTTCTCAGTGGTGAGGATTTTCACACTTCATTTTCATTCGAAATTCCTTCAAAATCCTGAAACTTTTTCTAGAAGCGTGGCATCACACACGTTGTGAATTTGTCTATCGGTTGTCCGCGTGCGTCATCCATCACAAGTGATGAGAATTTCCTACGAATTCCTGTGAATGATTCCTACCAAGAGAAGCTCTCACCGTATTTTGAGCGAGCGTGGGAGTTCTTGGGTGAGTTACTACTTCAGCGTGGTTCTTCTATCTCTTAGTTGAATAAAGCACGATTAGAAAATGGCGTGACTAGTAGTTTGTTGTATTTTCATAGCGTTGTTTACGTCAATCGTGCTCGATATTTGTACAGCAGAATCAAATTCAGAAATAGCCGAGAAATAAAATACACCAATTTTTCACTTTTCTTCTTTTTTGGATGTGTCCATTTGTGCACTTGAAGAAGCGCGTGTGGCTCAGTGGTCGGAGGCGCCCTGTAATTCGATCCCGGCGCGCCAAGCCCACCGAGTCCTGCGCGGCTTCGGGATCGGCAAATTGGTACCAGATTTGTCTGGAAGGATAGCAGCACTGGCTCGATTCATCCGTAGGCCTCCGCAGGACATTGTAAGGGCCGGATATTCATTCAGTCAACTCCAGCGGTGCTTAATGGAATCGAAGGCATGGCGCGTCCTTCAGGAATTTATCAACGACGAGAGCTTTATCCTTTTTTATCCTTTAGTGCACTTGAAACATATTTTTTCGATTAGATACTAGGTGGTTGTTCGTATGATTTTGGTAATGTTTCAGAACGTGTACGGAAGTCCGGAAATGTAGTTCTTATTCACTGTCTAGCAGGAATTTCAAGAAGTCCAACGTTGGCAATTTCATACGTAATGAGATATCTGAATATGTCATCTGAAGATGCTTATAAGTATGTTTTTTTCTCCTTTCATTTCATCTTATTTGATGCATCCAATGAGGTATAGCTAGATAAAACAGGCGTCGTACTTTTGAATGAGTACCCATTGGGTGCTACTAGAACGTAAGAGTTATTCAGGTTCTGAACGAAGGAATCCGAGACAAACTACAAAATATAGACAGCGGCAACTCGCATTACAGACTAGTGAAGGAGAAGCGCCCGTCGATCTCGCCGAACTTTAACTTCATGGGACAGTTGCTTGAGTATGAGCAGTTGCTGATCAGGAATGGCCTTTTGTCGGTGGAGGCGTCATCGAAACGAATCGATCATCCGCTATCTTTGAAGCAAGGATTTGATGCAGAGGTCAGTTCAGTTGTTTGGATTTATTGGTCTGTTCATAAACTATGTAGGTATTTCCTTTCATTTGGTTCACTTCGTCGTTGATCTTTTTCTCCTGCTTCGTTTTTCTGTACATTATCTGTGAATGACTCCCTAAAAACTTCAAAATCGAATGAAATATCGTTTCTATATTTTGTTTCTTCCAAGAAACGTCTTTGATATACTGAGATATGAACCTGTTTAGGATACCGATACTGTTGTTTGTCCTGCTTCTAAAGTACCAAAGTCTGCATCTACACACTGTGTCTTCTTTGAAAAATCTCGAGAAATTGGTTCCACATCGGTGCGAGTGAATGAGAACGGAAAACGCGGTCTTAGCGACTCCCTGGACCGTCCGAAAGTGCTTGGCCTGTACAAAGATTCCAAGCGCCTGTCCGCGGAAGAGTTGCCGTCACCTTCAACAGAATTGTCGAAATTGACATTTGTTGGTCTGCCATCGCCTTCATCTTCTGCGTCAGGCGGAGAACTTCAAAACTTGTCTCTTTCGAATCCGTGCTTTTTGTCTCCCACTAGAGAGACACTGCAGCCAGAAAGACGTACGGAAGAGTGCGAGACCAGTCGCCGTAGTTTCTTCAAGCACCGCATAGTGTCGTTATTTAAGGTTAGTATGCTATAGTTTATTACCAAGTATTTTCAAAACATAGATTTATGAACTTAAATAGTTCCGTCGTAGTGAATTTGAACTGCATCCGTTTGTATCAAAGGTTTTGTTTTTGTGTTTCTTTAGTCTGATTTGTCATTCTCAAGCTTTTTTTCAGCAGTCTCATCAATCGATGTCGTGTTCTTTACGTTCACCAACGTCATCTCAACAAAAGACCTCTCGGCCAGATGATCTGCAATCTTCTGGAATTCCTTTTTTTAATGTTAGAAAACCTGTGAAAACGAGCAGTCCAACAATACTGATGACCACTGCTGAAGAGGCTGAGTCACCTGAATCAGGCTATCAGGTTAGGTTCGAGATACATCTCTGTATGTCCTAGCTTATGTTTTCATAGGTGGGAAGTACTGATACCCTTTCGAAATAGTGGAAGCACTCGTAATGAAACCAAGTTATTTCATTGGGTAGAGACATAAGTAAGAAAGGATAGACGTTCCGCGTTGATCATTGGTTTAGAGGTGTGCGATCCTTTCGACTCCATTGCGCGTTTTAGAGGTGATTGAGTGTATATTTGGCCTAAACAATCACGTACCAGCGTGCTGATATGCTAAGTCAGTGATTCTGTCCTCTCAAATATGTATGGTACTGAATTGCCATCCTCGGAAAGACAGAGGGCTTTCTTTAAGCGGGGTGCTAGATCGAACCAGTTATCGTGTTCATATTACGGGGTGTTAGGGTTTTCATTAAAGTAGCGTTTTCACTAATGATTTACCTATTTTTATAGTTACAGGACGAAGAATACAAGACTTCGCCGGAAGATCTGGATCGTGTGTCGATCAGCTCGGCAGGCAGTGAGATCACAGTGCAGTAGTCAGCTGTCGACCAGTGCTTTTTCTACGCCTCCACCTCCGGAATGTTTGAAGTTACAGCACATCCACTGTTGAATTTTGTACTTCAGCCCTCCAACCAGTGGAAAAGTGTTGTGTACTTGATCTGTTTCTTCATGAAGTGCCACCTCAGCTTCGTCTTTTCTGTGGTCTAAAGTTTGTGTGAGAAGGTGTTCCCGTTGCATGAATCTACAGAGAATAACCCGGATTTTCTAATAACGCAAGATTTCGGTTAGTGTAGGGACGACGTCCTTTGTTCATGGTATAAATAGTGGGCGATAGACATAAGGATACGTAACATAACGAAGCTGTACGTGGTTACTTGTGAACTTTTTGACCAGCGAAGGATTTGTAATCACGTTCTTGATTCTCTTTGAACATAACTATTCTCATCTTCACCTCTGTCGTTAGTGTTATTGTTGCAGTTGAGATTTGTCACCGTGGGCTGCTATCGCGTAGGTAGGAATTCTATATCCTCGACGGGTATCTCATATTTGACTTTACCTTGCTACGGACCACAATAAATAGTCTAGATACTGTTCTGGATGCTGTCGTTTATTGTCTCAGTCCCCTTGTATTTGTGTTCTTGAAGATCTTGTAACTACGTTGTGTACATTTTTTTTGGTGTTTCATTGAGCAGTTTTCATGACTGGATAAAGTTAAAATGATAACGTTGTTTGTTCAAAGTGAAAACAGCTATTTGTGAAATGGTTCACGCTGAACTGTCCGAAGTTATCTATTTAGCACTTGTCTACATAATACGACGTGGTATCTGATCAGTAACAATCAATTTGACCATGTACTTCACAGTATGTTTAGTTAGGTTTCCGTTGTAAATGTGCATCGTCCCAACGGTTGGATGCCTAATCGTGGCGGGAAGTGTTCCTGGGTGCTGGGCTGTGATGTACAGCGGGGATTTGTCTCCCCAGCAGGGTTTTCCTAGCTGAGAAGGAGTCGCGTTTCTATCAGGAACCCCGGCAAAGAGTTGATCAACACTAGGGTCCACTACCGTCGTGGTATCAAACTAGTCGCATAGTGGGGAACCTGTCTCTGATCCACAAGGGTGACGGCTGCTAATGCTGGTGATGACCTAGGGCAGACTTTGGCTAGACTGACTTCAGGACTCCAGGGAACTGCAGTGGCTAAACCAGCATAACTCCAAAAAATGGAAATTACGCTGGGACCCGCACAACCAGTGAAGAAGGACAACTCAGGCATCCAAGTAAGTAAATGTGCTTAGGTAATTCGTCATAGTAAATGCGTTTTATGGAACCAGTGAGGACATGCATTTGAAACTTTCTTTTATAGCTGTCATAGCGGAAAGCTATGCGTGATGAACAAATAAATACAATTTAGTTTTGTAACCACAGTTTATGACCTGACTCTTTTTTAAGGTAGGTTTGTGCTTCTGATGTATTGTATTCGATCGGTTGGTCGACCAATAGTGCAGATCTGTGATTCTATTTGAAGTTCTATGGTTCTAGAATCGTTCTGGTTAACGAGGTATTTCGAATAGAGTCGCAACAGGTAGGCGACTGCCCAACGAGAAAACAGGAATCCCAGGATACAAGTAACTTGGAGCTCCAGAGAAGAATAGTGTAGCCGAATGCTACATTCCGTTTAAGCAGAAAGTATGATTCGTTGTCATGATTCTTCTTCGTGAACATACGTCATCTAGAGACTGATACCATGCTCGCCAGAGTCCCTTTCTTTCGATTTTCATGATTTCCCTGCTGTGGCAAGCTCGGGATTCCTGGGAAAGCTGTAATTGACCTGCCTTCGACTGTATCATCGTCTAAAGGGTGTTATCACACTTAGATGCAAAGCCTTATGGATGGGAAGAAGGTTCAGTTTTATTGGCATTGTTCCGTAATAGCAGCATTTGCTTGAATTAGTTGACCGAGAAACGAAAGACGATGTATCTGGCATATTCAATTGAGGTACTAGGTTGAAATCCATGAGGAAGAGTACAGTTATGTAGAGAACATGTAACTGTTTTCTTCTGCACTGGCATAGTTTTAGTTTCTTTAACGTTCTTCGTCTTTGATTCTTACCCCTTTAATGAATGTCTCAGTATTCTCATCGATTTAGTAGCTCAGGTCCAAACCATGTTCTGATGCTTTTCTATCTCTACCAGTGGTAAGGGAGTGGGTTGGACTCCTACTGCAAGGAGGGTTTCAGAAATGGAGAACTTTTTCCAGTACTTTATTACTTACTTACTTGGATACTTGGAGAGGCCGTCCTCACTGGCTGTACGGGGCCCAGCGTATTGTCCACTTTTCGGAGTTTTGTTGGCTTAGTCATTGTGGTTCCTTGCATTCCCGAGGTTAGCCAAGCTAAAGTCTGTCCCAGGCCGTCACCACCACAGGCATTCGCTGTCTCTGTGGATCAGAGCGAGATTTGCCATCATGCGACTTTGATACTAGGATGGTGGTGGGTCCTGGTATTGGTTTACTCTTAGCTAGGCTTACTAATGGAACGCCGGACTCCTTTTTAGCTCGTGAGATATCATTGGTGACCACAATATCCAACACTGGAGGCCACGGTGCTTAAGAGGTACAGTTTTTCTACTCGTTTCCTTACCCGATAGCATTCCTCGATCTACATGTTCGATGGATATTAAATTCTGCTTTGTCGCTTGTTTCATGCAGTATGTTTCTTATAAAGTATCATCTGTATCTATTACCTGTATTCCCATTGATCGTCGAGTGACTCGAGTGGGCGCCAATAAATCTTCCATTTTTGCCTGTCGCGTGCAAGAGTAGTTTAGTAAGTTCTGCTCGCTATAATGACTCGTCGAGCATCATACCTTTCTTCTAGGTTTTTCGCGAAGAACTCTGACCATCGAGTTGGTGGTCTTCCTGCTGTGCGTTTAACATCCCGAGGAATCCAATCGCCAACGGCTCTTGTACATCGGTTATCGTTCATACGCATTTCGTTTTCGGCTCACCGTACCTTATCTTATCTTTTATAAAGTAGGGTTTTAAAATTGAACCGTAGATAAGTTAAGTATGAAGCTAATGTTAGTGTGCCAACAATTTGGAGCGGATTAAAAAGCAAATGTTCAAGGCTTAGTCTTTAAACTTGTCCGAATGCCAAGCATAATCTGTTCCACCACCAAATTTTTCACGTTGTATGTCTTTCTTCGCGGTTATTATTAATAATTTTACATAAAAGCCAAAAATATGTTGTTCAGGTGTTCTCTATGACTGATACAGACCCTTCAGCAAATTTCAGTGATGACTTTGAAGCACTGGAAAATCCGCTTAATCAAATCCATTCTCGACACAGAAAAGAAAAGAAGGCGCTTAAAGGTTGAATTGAGTTCAGATTTAAGCAAATTACATAGTGTGTTCTAAAATCACGTAAATATACGTGAAATTCTGGAACTAATCATGCTACTATTCACTTCGAAATTCATTGATTCTACTGAAAGTTCCGTTTTTACGAGTACAGAGAAGACGTTGTCTATGAAAAAGTCTGCAAAATCTGGCAACAAACAGAGACAGAAGGAGGTCAACGCAGAGATTGAAAGACTGGAAAACGAACTAGCCGCTCGTCACGAGAAGGAAATAGCAGAGCTGAGGTGTCAGGTTAGTCTAATGGGACGATAGATACATTATTCTTTCTGGCTGAGAGAAAGGCGAGACGAAGCACACTCGCATGTTCTGATGCTGAAAGCTTTAGCCCCTAGGAAGGGTAAGGGGTCGTTCGTTGCCCATCGCAGACACCTTCGGTCCGGAATTTTGCAAATGTCTCAGCATTATTGTGATTATTCTTTATGTTACAAATGTGGCGAAAAAAATTCGAACAGGTTCCTATCGAATGCTTGGATTTCTTTATATTCAGCATTGCTCAATAAGCATTCGAACATGGGATTTCATAAAACTAGAAAACTGTTCGAATCTATATGTTCAGCTTTTCATTGCCTTTTGTGGATGTAGGAATGAATGGGAACCACGTAATTCTGTAATCCATAGTGTGTAAGCTCCTCTAACTGTCTAAAAATAAGGACTCTACTGGCATTTTGGAAGATTGGAAGATGTTTAATTTGTCCACGATCTGTCTTGTTGAAAATCCGCATTCAAAATTCCATACACATCAGTTCACAGTTTACGTACCACATCCTTCTTTGAAATTGTTACGTACATAGGTTCGAAATTTTGAATAAAGCTGATCTTTTTCTCTTTTAGATACCTGCGTCTTGCGGTGCTAACAATGATCATCATTCGTCTGCGTCGTGTAGAGGGAACTCGGAAGAATTGGAACATTCGTTTTATAAACAAATAGAAATATCTTCTAGGAGCAAAAAGAAGCAGGTTGATTTCATTATTTTGAGGAACAGGTGCTTCATACACTTCTTTACGCCGTCGTTCCGTTTCCTCTTAGGCTAAACATGATGAAGCAGTGCGTCGAATGCAGGCAGCCATTGAATTGGATCGTGAAAACACCGCAACATCGTTACGTACAACTGAAATGACTGCCATACAGAAGGTTTTTACTTTTGTTCTGTTCTGGATGTGTAGTGTAATGGATAACAAGGATAAAGCTCTCGGTGTTGATCAATGCCTGAGGGATGCACCATGTATTCAACTTTATTAAACATCGTTGGAAGTGAGTGAATACATATCTGGCTTTTATAATGACTTACGGGTGTCCTTCCAGAGAAGTCTGGTACCAATTTGTCGATCCCAAAGGGAAGGAAGGCCCGGTGAGCCTTTGGCGCGGGGGTCGATCCCATGTGTATTGCAGAGCGCCTCCGACAACTGCGCTACACACGCCAATATGTAGTATACGGTGTAATGTACACATGTGGTCGTTAGTTCGATTTCTTACCTTAAATTCACCAAGCCTTCTGACCGGGGTCGGCAAATTGGCACTGGACTTGTCTTACAAAGAAGTAGCATTGACTTGTTATATGGATAGGCCACTGCAAATTATTGTGTGGGCCAGTTATGAATTCAGTTACTTTTAATGACGTTTGATAAGGTCGAATGCATGGTGCATCTCCCAGATATTGCTCAACGCCGACAAGTTTATCCTTTTGTCTGTCATTGCTGTGAAATCGAAAACTAACCTACATTTGGTTGTGCTGTTTCGCTCGAATTCCCTTCTTGTAGATTCTTGATGAACGTGGGCTTGAATTAGTTGACATCCCTCCAGATGGTGACTGTCTTTATAATGCTGTTGCTGATCAACTGAGAAGAATTAAAGGATACGGACAAGTATGTCTTCCTTTTCTATTAAAGAGGCTCTTGGCTCTTCCACCTCTTCCACCTCCAGACTTAAGTAGCTTGGTAACAACGACTATTATGAAGCTAGGAGTGCATAGTTTTTTGTCCTTTCTTTATGGATCTTCATCGAACATCTCGCATTTTTTCTTTGTTCTATTTTGCAGTTTTTCAATAAGTACTTACATTTTTTGATACTAGAATGATTTTCACAGGAGCGCGTGTAGCGCAGTGGTCGGAGGAGCCTTGCAATACACAAGAGATCGGTCTCCGCACCACAGGCCAACCAAGCCATCCCTCCAGTGTCGGCAAATTGGTACCAGACTCGTCTGGGTGGATAGCAGCCCTGGCTCAATACATCGGTAGGCCACCGCGAGTCATTGCAAAGGCCAGATATGCACTCAAGCACCTCAAACGATGCTTAACGAAAACGAATGCATGGTAATCTCTCAGGGATAGATCAACGCCGAGAGCTTTATCCTTTTTTCCTTATCCTTACTAGGACGATTTTCATATCTCCTTTCTCCATAAACTGTCTCTAACGTTTCTAAATTTTAATTTAGATTTAAAGGGTTATCTAGGAGTGCTTTGTTGTTACGTTGCATATAGCGTAATTATTTTTATCCTTAGTGTCGTCCCATTTCTATAATAATAGTAGTTCTTATTTTTTTAGGCAACAGGGAAGGATATGCGCCGTCGTGCGGCAAAATACATGCGTGAACATAAACATAACTTTATTCCTTTTTTAACAAGCGTAAGTTCAGATGGGCTTTATTTTATTACAAATATCACTAGTCTTCTTTCAACCTTTTTATTTTGACTGCTTATTTTTTTTCAGGAAGACGACGACCTTCTGGCGGATTTTGAATTCGATAAGTATTGTCACGGAGTTGAAAACGAAAGCAAAGATGGAGGCGTTTGGGGTGGTGAACCGGAATTGAATGCTCTTAGTCAATCATTGGAACGTTCTATAGAGGTTTGTAGCGCTGGTTTGCACTTTATTTTCTAAATCGACACTATTGGGCTTTCTTTTTTTATTGATGAAGGCTACGTTTCCTTATCATATAAACAGCACAATCACCATGGAAACTGTAGAGCAGGGTCTATTCTTTAGAATAGCACGTAAAACATTTGCAATTGAAAATATGTATGCACATATTAACTAGAAAACCGCGACAACCTTTCGTTTTGCCCAGTAGGGCATTTTATATAGATTAGCGAGAGTACTTCAAGGATATCGCATTTCATAGCCTTCTCTCCCGACAGAGTACTCCACTGATAGTAATCCTTGCTTACGTGGATACTTAGATGGCCCCTTCTCACTAGTTGTGCAGGCCTCACCATAATCTCCATTTTGGCAGAGTTTTGCTGGCTTAGCTTTTGTGTTTCCATGGTGGAGTCCCGAGGTCAGCCTAGCCAAGGACTGCCGGGGTCGTCACCTACCACAGGTAGTCGCCCTCTATGTGGGTCAGGAGATTGGCCACCATGGGACTAGTTTGATATAGGGACAGTGGTGAATCCTGATATTGGTTTACTCTTAGCTGGACTTCTTGATGGAAACGCCGGGCTGCTCAACTTGAGAGACCCTGCCGGGCGGATGAATCCTTCCGCCGTACATCACAGCCGTGAAGCGGTAAACCGTTGTGAGGTTCACTGATACTTCAACTGTCACTGATAGTAATGGAAAAGATATATATGGAACATCTAGAAGAAGGTGGATGCTGCAGTGATAGCGATGCCGATCATCGCGAGCACTCTGGCAGTTCAATCCCACTCAGGCTTACCAAGCCTGTCAACCCTCCGTGGTGGTGGAATTAGTACTGAACATCTTTTGGAAAGGTTAACTATCTGCAGTCCATGTGGAAATGATGCCCTGTCGCGGCTATCTCAGGACTCCAAAGAGAATGTACTCAACCAACATTCAACGAAATCGTAAGGAAAGAAAAACGCTCAAGCAGTAGCCGAACCTGCACGAAAAGTTTGAAGACCGTTGATTATTCGTTCCAGGAAGCGAATCGAATGTGAAATGTGACCCGATCCCTATAGTCGATGTGAGCAATCTGAAATCTGGTCGCCTGAAATACTTGAATGATTCGTCCTGACTGTTTGTGCGGACTCAAACATAATCTCCATTTTTCGGAGATTTGCTGCTTTAGCCATTGTGGTTCGCCGGAATTCCGAGGTCAGACCCGCCAAAATCTGCCCCAGTTCGTCACCACCACAGGCATTCGTGACCCTTGTGGATAATATGGAGATCTGTCACTACGCGACTAATTTAATACCAGGACGGTGTTGGATCCTGGGATTGGTTTGCCTTTAGCTAGGCTTCCTGATAGGAACGCCAGCAAGAAAGGATCTGGGTTACAAATTACCCGTGTATTGGTTTCGATTCACGTGCGACAAAGAGTTGAGCATTGTAGCACTCGTCCACTAGAGGAGAAATTGTCATTCCGTGTTGTTTTTTTTGCTACATGCAGAAGGTTCTTGAAAGCATGTCTGAAAACGATGATTGATATTTCACTTTCCGTACGTAATGTCCTATTGCAACGGAAAACTATAGAATCCAAGAAGTGCTTAACGAGCCAGTTGTTCTTCGTTCTCGTTGCTACATTCTCAATACTGTGTAAGCTTCCTTGGGATGTAATCTCAGCTCTTAGTCTTAGCAGTTCATCATGTTGAATTTTCGATCCAAGTGTATTATAAATTTTTGGAATAATCAGACTTTCGCCTCGTTCGTCATAAATGAAACGTTGGAAACGAATATGCTTATCATGAACATCACTTTATTGGCGTTTATAGCGTATGAGAAGTCGGGTCGGTGTGTTGACGGGTAATGGCTTCTGTAACTCTCTTGGTGTGGTCAGGTTTTATAATTGCATGAAATCAATTAGTAGTTTAGGTGGCTTACAATGTTATTTTTTTTTTTTGGTGTAGAACGACAAACAATGTTGTTGGTCGGGTATTGGGTTCCGTTAGATGTCAAGAGGAACCTGCGGTCATCCTTTAAATCATCGAATACGTGGAGCATGCACTTTCGGATTTCCATTTGTACCTTCTGAGCACCACAGTTATTCAGAGAGATCCACTCCTACAGGAGACACGAAGAGCACCGTTTTTACTATGAGCCTCTTTCGTTCTGTAGTTTTGATGAAGAACGCACCTCGCTAAACACTGCTTAGGTTTGCTCTTGTTTGTCGAAATCCTTGTTCGGAGTGACTGCTGTGAGGTGAATTGTACTTCGGTAGTTAGGAACAACCCTGGATGGATCACTCACAATAGGATATCAAAATTGTTTTCCATCTCAGTTCCTCAGCATTCGATAGCTGACTTGCTAGTGCTTTGGATGTTTTTAGCTAAACTTATTAGGATTAGTCTCATTTACATAACATAGATATCAATCCCTCCCAACGGTTTACCGCCTACTCGTGGCTGTGAGATGTTTTTGGGTGTCGGACTGCGGTGTACAGCAGGGGTTCGTCCTCTCGGCAGGTTCTTCCAGGTTGAGTCCTGCGGTTTCATCAGGAAGCGTAGCTAAGAGTAAACCAATACCAGAATCCACCACCGTCCTAGTATCAAAGTCGCATGATTGCAAATCTCATTCTGATCCACAATGGCTGCGACTGCCTGTGGTGGTGAAGAACTGGGGCAGACTTTGGCCATGCTGACCTCGGGATTGCAGGGAACCACAACGGCTTAGCCAGCAAATCTCCAAGTAGTGGAGGTTGTGCTGGAGCCCGCACAAACAATGAGGACAGGTCATTCAAATACCAAGTATCAAGTAAGGTATCAACCCTCCTAGTAATATCATTTAGTGCTAACTGAACACGGAGCGCTAGGTACAAAATTCTTGGCTGTTTGTACAAGCACCGTGGTCTACTTTTCCACACTCTCTCCCTATTTCGAAATTCAACGGAACCATTTCGGCACAAAACTTGTTTAACTATATTCGTAATATAACTTCAATGATGCTGAGATATTTGCAAAACTCCGAACCGCAGGTGGCGGTGGCGAACGAACGCGCTATTGTCCTTTCCGAGGAGTTAGGTGTTCACTACCACACCATGCGGTTCCTTCGTTTCGCCTGTCTCTCAGCTAGTTCTGTCGATTTTTGCCATCAGCAATCACCCGTTAGCGCGTTCGTTCCTCACTGCAGACACCTGTGGTCCGGAGTTTTGCAAATATCTCAGCATCATTGAAGTTATATTTCGCAATATATACCCTGCCATTAAAGAGTAGGCAGTAAATAATAAGTTAAAATTATATTCGTAATACCATTGTAATATATGGTGGTGCTCACTTGAAATCAAAACGTAGTATGACCTATGAAGCTAGAAATTAGTTTTTTCTCGTTTCTGTTGTTAATGATGAGGCCATCCTAATCAACCTACGTGGCCTTCAGTTCCAGTTCGATTAGATAATGTTTAATTTTGTGTTAGTAATAGAACAATCCAAGATATCTTATATATCCAAGATATCTAACAATCCATGATATCTTCCACATAGGAAGAGTATTACGGTGGAATATCATCAGATTTCCAGCTAATCCAACCGATGGGTCCTCCGGTCATATTCGGAGAAGAGTTCAACAAGACGAAACAACTGATAATCGTATACCATCGTCATGCTTACCAACTTGGTGCGCATTACAATTCAACAACTGCAAAGGCATCGTCGTGATAATTTAGACTTTGTAGAACGTTGTTATTCTGTTTAGATATATTTTTATCAAACACTGCACAATTAAATGTTGTTGAATTATGTTCGGTAAGCAGTAATTCTCTCGAAAATTTTAGAACTGGGTGTCAATTTCCAAGAACTTTTCATACACACAAATATGGATGTCAGCGTCATACATACAGATATCGTTGCTTGAAATCAGTGCTGTTGGTTCAATAACAGATTCACCAATTATCCCGATGTCGACGTAAATCGGTGCTATTTAAATCATCACTAATCCAAGGGTCGGAAATATCAGGCAGTCAAGCTGGTCGGTGCTGTCGTTCGTCCTCGAATGGGAAGATAGAGTTTGAATTCAGCAGGTAATTCATCCTCGCTATATAATCGATCAGCAAAATAGATACGACGTAGCCGACAGTTGGCATGGACCTTAAACGTATATACCTGCATTTTAAGAAATGAAGCTTACAAATGAAAGAAGACATAAACGTTTACATCAAGATGGGTTCAATTACTAACGTTAACGTCGATCAGACAATAATCGGTATATGTCGGTTTCCAATCAGTATATGGTTGTATGTAAAGTTTTAAGTAATGTAATGCTAGTAAAAGACCGCTCTGTGAATAATAGTAAAAAAACGGTTCTAAACTATTTAGCGGTGGATTTATGCCTAATTTCCCTCAGCAATTGCATGTGACCAATTCCAGTTTTCGCTACGCGTGCATTGAGTTCAGTACATGCGGGACGCGCTGCGCTTTGTGGGACATAGTACCCTCCTGATCAGCATCGTTCTTTGTGGAGGGATTAATAAACTCGTCGTAAAAACACCTTTAAATTAAACAGTGTAGTTTTCTTAGATCTCATCTGGAACATCATGGCAAGGATATCTCATCGATTGAACGCAAAAAGTCAAGCAAATATGACGGCAAAATAGGAGCCGCAAATAACCCGTAGAAATCAACGGATTCCAAATATACTGTGTCATTCGCCCCACCAATTTATTGGGCTTATAGCTTACTTGGCTTTGTTCATTGAGCTCACTGCGTACGGTACCGAATGTGTTAATCCACCTCTCCCTTGACATGCCTGTTTCTATCCTCAAAGAAGTTCAGCATATGGTAAACACAAGTCATACATCCTCATAATGTTCTGGGTAGAAAGTTACTTCGATGCCCACCATTATGAGGCGCATAAAGCTGTTACCTTTGTCCCTCTGTCAGTTTCGTTGACGAGAGCTTCATGTTTCTTCTTGTTAACGCCACCATGTTTTTTTTTTCTGATACCTTAATGTGCTTTGCTAGAATTACCAAGATGTATGCTTCACCTGTATACGCAAAGTTTCCACATAATTCGTCCCATACGCTCGTTTCGTGAAATCGGCGAGGTTAAACTGGATTTGGTTCCAACTTTCATCTAGCCTCATAGGCATTGTACAAATGAACGGCTTAACTCGTGTACTTGATTGGTAGTTTGAAGCGCGGAAACGTCGCTTTACACCTTTGTCGTCGAGAATCTGAAATTACACGTGTCATAATAAATCCCACGACTGACTTTCTATTAACCTCGGCATTGATCAAGTAATTCTTTATATTCTTGTTGAGCAAACTCGTGGCGTTGTTTTATTTTTTATCCAAGAACGAGCTGACGTTTCGGTGGATTTCGTCTTCCTCAGAGCCTGGAAAGGTCAAGTTGACAGCAATCTATCAGGCCAAACACCTCCATAACGAAACAAAGCAAACGCTAAGCCAAGATTTCAATCACATTGAACACAGAATAGCTCCATGCACACTCACCGCTTTCTGAGTTTTCCACTGGATATATCACGTCGAGACCAACCGCTCAGAATTTACATGGTAGCCTAATGTGCCCCTCCCATCAGAATGACAGGCTTGTATACTACCCAATATCACACGTGTTAATGAGACATTCTTCCCTGCGGTTCATGTTCAGATTTCTGGAATTAATCCAGAACGCCTCGAAAGTTTTGCGCGCTTGTGTTCTTGATTCCTGCGCGAGGATCGTGAGTCCTCTCCGTTATGCCTCTGGGTCCTATGCGTCCCTAGTGGGGTATTTGGTTGACGTTTGCCGACTAGGCGTTCTTTTATGCGGATACAGAGTGGTCTACCCGTTTCGCCGATGTATCCGTCTCCGCCCACCTTACAGGAGATCAGATAAACTGTGCCCGAACTCATACAATCACCATCTCTACCATTAGGGCAAATTATGCAATTTTTCGTTACATATATATATAGGTCATATAGGTGGTTGCAACCTATCTGGCGCCCAAGAGTACTCGGTGGTATTTCAGCTACGTTTACCAAATTCTCTAGACCTGCCCTTCTTAAGCAGCGTTTTATAGCTGCACTTACCATTGAGGTGAAAGGTAGAATAAATGGGACCTTTTTATCGCTAGAGTTGTCGTTTGGAGGCCTAGGATTTCCCCTACCCCTATCCCGAACTACAGTTTCGTAGTCATTAGAAATGGCTATTTGCCGTACCAAGTGCCGGGACTTCTTTCTCTGCTCTCTTCCTGTGAACACGTTGGTTGCTGTTCGAAACATGTTTCTTACAAGCGCCCTTTTCGTGTGAGGGGGTGAGAGGAGATGTAATGAATAAAGATGTTTTTACTACTTGGCTTTCGGTACCACTTCGTAATGTAGCCATTTTCTGACAGGTTAATTTGGACGTTCAGGAATGGAAGCCAGTCTTCTTTTGGTTTCTCTCGGGTGAACTTGATATACTCTGACTGTTCGTCCAACAACTCGAAACATTTGTCCATTTCCTCTTGTGTTGAGCAAAGGACAAAACAATCATCTATATGTCTACAGTGGAGTAACGGGCCGAGATCGATTACTGGTGCTCCCACCTTTGACATAAATGCAATGGCAAGGCTTGGTACCAGTCGCTGTCCCATTGCCAGCCCTCTTATTTGGGAGCAGTATTTTCCGCACTAAATGAAAATTGAGCAGCTCAGACATTCTTTTAAGAGTGTCATCAACTGCAATGGCACAGTGACTGGCACCAAGTCTTGCCATTGCGTCTATGTCTAAGGTAGAAGCACCAGTAACTGATCTCCGGCCCTTGCTCTACTGTAGATATATAGCTGAATGCTTTAACACAAGTGGAAATGGACAAATGTTTCGAGTTGTTGAACGAACAGTCAGAGTATATCAAGTGCACCTGAGAGAAACCGAAAGAAAACGGGCTTCCATTCCTGCACGTCCAAATTAACCTGTCAGAAAATGGCTAGATTATGAAGTGGTACAGAAAGCCAAGTAGTAAAAACATCTTTGTTCATTACACCTCCTCTCACCCCCTCACACGGAAAAGGCGCTTGTAAGAAACATGTTTCGAACGGCAACCAACGTGTGCACGGGAAAAGAGCAGAGAGAAGAGTCCGGGAACTTGGCGCGGCAAATAGTCATTTCTAATGGCTACGAAACTGTAGCTCAGGATAGGTGTAGAGGAAATCCTAGGCATCCAAACGACAACTCTAGCGATAGAAGGGTCCCGTTTATCCTAGCCTTCATCTCAAATGATGCAAGTACAGCTATAGAACGTTGCTTAAGAAGGAAGGATTTAGAGAATTCGGTAAACGTAGTTAAAATTCCACCGAGTAATCTTAAGCGCCAGCTAGTCCGTAACCGCCTATATGAGCGTCTATGTGCAACTCAAAATTCCATAATTTGCCCCAGTGGTAGAGACGGTGATTGCATGAGCTCGGGTATAGTTTATCTGATCTCCTGTAAGACGTTCGGAGACGAATACATTGGCGAAACGGGCAGACCCCTCTGTGTCCGCATAAAAGGACACCTAGCCGGCAAATATAGACCAAATACCCCGCTAGGCACGCATAGGACCCAAAGATATAACAGGGAAGACTTTGAAGTATGTGTCACGATCTTCGCACACGAATCAAGAACACAAGCGCGCAAAACTCTCGAGGCATTCTGGATTAATTCCAGAAATCCGAAAATGAACCGCAGGCAAGAATGCCTCATTATCACGCGTGATATAGGGCAGTATATAAGACTGTTATTCTGATGGGATGGGCACATTATGATTCCACGTGATTTCTGTGCGGTTGGTTTTCACTCGACATAATTAGTGGAAACCTCATAGAAAACGGTGAGTGTGCAAAGCTGTGTTCATTGTGATTGAAATCATCGTTTAGTTTCTTTTTTTGGTTATGGAGGTGTCTGGCCGAATAGATTGCTATCAACTTGACCTTTCCAGGCTCTGAGGAAGGCGAAATCCGCCGAAACGTCAGCTTATTCGTGAATAAAGAATAAAAACACCTCGCGTTTGCTAAAAAAAAAATACGAAGGATTACTTGATCAATGCCGAAGTTAATACAAAGTCGGTCGTAGTTCATTACATCTCCTCTCACTCCCTCACACGAAAACGGCGCTTGTAAGAAACATGTTTCGAACAGCAACCAACGTGTTCACAGGAAGAGAGCAGAGAAAGAAGTCCCGGAACTTGGTACGGCAAATAGCCATTTCTAATGGCTACGAAACTGTAGCTCGGGATAGGTGTTGGGGAAATCCTATGCCTCCAAACGACAACTCTGGCGATAAAATGGTCCCATTTATTCTACCTTTCACCTCAATGGTAAGTGCAGCTATAAAACGCTGCTTAAGAAGGGCAGGTCTAGAGAATTTGGTAAACGTAGCTGAAATACCACCGAGTACTCTTGGGCGCCAGATAGGTTGCAACCACCTATATGACCTATATATATATGTAACGAAAAATTGCATAATTTGCCCTAATGGTAGAGATGGTGATTGTATGAGTTCGGGCACAGTTTATCTGATCTCCTGTAAGGCGGGCGGAGACGGATACATCGGCGAAACGGGTAGACCACTCTGTATCCGCATAAAAGAACGCCTAGTCGGCAAACGTCAACCAAATACCCCACTAGGGACGCATAGGACCCAGAGGCATAACGGAGAGGACTCACGATCCTCGCGCAGGAATCAAGAACACAAGCGCGCAAAACTTTCGAGGCGTTCTGGATTAATTCCAGAAATCTGAACATGAACCGCAGGGAAGAATGTCTCATTAACACGTGTGATATTGGGTAGTATACAAGCCTGTTATTCTGATGGGAGGGGCACATTAGGCTACCATGTAAATTCTGAGCGGTTGGTCTCGACGTGATATATCCAGTGGAAAACTCAGAAAGCGGTGAGTGTGCATGGAGCTATTCTGTGTTCAATGTGATTGAAATCTTGGCTTAGCGTTTGCTTTGTTTCGTTATGGAGGTGTTTGGCCTGATAGATTGCTGTCAACTTGACCTTTCCAGGCTCTGAGGAAGACGAAATCCACCGAAACGTCAGCTCGTTCTTGAATAAAGAATAAAACAACACCTCGAGCTTGCGCGACAACGATATAAAGAATTATACGTGTCATTTTTCAAGGTTTACCGTTAAGGTTTGCATTCCTACTCAAGGTGCTACTACAATCGCTGTTTGTTGGGAGTGTAAACATTAATAGCAGTTGTGTCACCTTTAATCTCTTTGAACAACAAGTAACTCGAGAAGGTACAAATAAGTTGCTCAGCATGTTTCACTGAGTCGAAAGAGTTGAAATGCAACACATTCTTAGTACGAGAGCCCATCTCTTTATCGCTTTCTATGGGGCAGGAGTCTACGGTGGCATAGGGTTACTCTTAGCTAAATCTGTATGAAAACTTGAAACTCCTCAACTTAAAAGACCAGATTAAGGACGATGAAATCCTCTACACTGCAATAACCACCCAGTCAGGCTGGCGTAGTAAATCATTAAGGATACACAACTGCATAAATACTCCCACAACCGACTTTCTATTAACCTCGGCATTGATCAAGTAATTCTCCGTACCTTTTTTTCTTCGTATTCATCGTGCAAAGCTGTGCTCGATGTGATTGAAATCTTGGTTTAGAGTTTCTTTGTTTGGTTATGGAGGCGTCTGGCCGGGTAGATTGCTATCAACTTGACCTTTCCATGCTCTGAGGAAGGCGAAATCCGCCGAAACGTCAGCTTATTCGTGAATAAAGAATAATAACACCTCGCCTTTGCTCAACAAAAATACGAAGAATGCATAAATACTTTCACAAATGGGCAAAACTCGGAACCTAAAGTTCTCAAATGGGCTTCGAACTCACGAATAAACTTTCCTGGGGCTAATGTGCTGTCCACCACACCAACAAACGCCCTTGCTTTGTCTTTCTCTCAGTTAGTTTTCTACTTTAACGTGCTATCAACAATTATCCGTCAACAGAAATGATTAGAACGCAGTTAAGCCGAATCTGCAGTCAAAATCGCAACGTTTTAACTTACTGCCTAATCTTTCTCGAATGCAGAATTGCGCTCCTCAGATCATTCCCACTGACGAGTAATTGCTAAAAGCACCGTTAGAGAATAAAAAAAATGATGGAAAGGCAAAGCAAAGCCCCGGTTAATGTGGTGGATAGCACGTCAGTCCCGGTAAAGTGTAATCGCGAGTTCGAAGCCCGCTTGAAGTTTCGAGTTCTGCTCATAGTAAGTTCCAGTTAAAATACGTACCTGAACTTCAAATGTGAAGTATTTCTTCATATTTTTCACTATCATCACAAAATATGGTAATTTTATACCAAGCGTCTTTCTCGGATCATGAGGACACGAAATATATGAAGTACTAGAAATAACCTATCATAGAAAAATCGGCATGAAAAATACATTTACGACAACTCGCCTAACGTTGGCACCCATAACTTCAATAATAAGAGATTGAATTTCATCGTCCGTAACTCGCTTTATGTGTCCGTTTTTGACCTGAAAAACAAGTATTAGAATAGCCACCCATACTGGTGAGTTAGTTCACGATATTTGCCAAAGTCTAACTTTAATTGATAAAGGTGAAATACTGTTTTTAATGAGTGTTAACTGCTGTCGATCAAACAACTAGAAGTTCCCCACCCTCCCATCCCAACTGCCTTACGCTTCTTCATGGCTGAAGTTTTGCGACGTAACAACCAGACGTTTTGTCCCCAACAAGACCGGCCAAACTCGAAAGTCAGACATTCCACCCCGGAAGCACAGTTTAGAGTAAACCAATGTCAAAAATTTCCGCTGTTCCAGAAGAAACCTAGTTTTAAGTCTTAGTTTTAAAGTGCCAAACCCCTTTGTAGTCAGTCCATTAAAGTTAGAGAGCTGTTGTGATAACGACCCATGAGCATTCTTTCGAGGTTATCTCGAGACCCTCAGCTAGAAATGTTGCCACACAGGAATGCAAAATGTATTGATATCCACACAATCCATTGTGAAGTATCAACTTCCATTCAAGTGTCAATTGATTTAAGAAAATTAATTAGAGTCGAAAAGATTTGCAACAGGGAATGCTACATTTTACCAGTATGGCAGGTTAAACAAATCAAAGCATGAAAATCGCTTACAAGAAGAATATGAGCCAACCTGCTTATCCCAAAGCTGTAACGGGTTGCTTCCCACACTGTAGAGCACGGAAAGTAAACCACTTTGAAACGTATTGTGAAACATTATTCACCAAAATCTCTTCTGAAAACAGCAAGAAGTAAGTCTGGAGTATAAACTGAAAGAGTGCGAAAGATTTACGGAAACATAGGAGTTGCCATGGAAACGGTTGGACACGATGCTAGTGAATATAACCAGTATATATACATATATACAGCATAACAGACACTTAAAAGATAAGCAGGGTGTTATACTATAAAAAATGAGGTAAAGCTCCCGGCATTGATCAATCCTTGAGGGATGCTGCGCCATGCATTTGACTTCATAAAGCATCTTTTGGAAGTGATTGAATGCATATCTGGCCTTTACAATGACTTGCGGTGGCCTTCCGATGTATCGAGTCAGTGCTGCTATCCTCCCAGACAAGTCTTGCACCAATCTAGCGACCCGGGAGGGATGGAGGGCTTGGTGGGCTATGGACGCGGGGATCGATCCCGCGTGTGTTGCAAGGCGCCTCCGACCACTGCGCCACACTCGTCTTAGATTGCTAGATGTCACGTTATTCATAAACAGTGTGATATGGAAAGATGTTGAATCACAGTCATTAGAAGGAAGTGTGTAGTGCCGTGGTTAGATGTGCTCTGTAATACACATGAAGTCATTGGTTCGATCCTACGTCCCGGGCTCCACAAGCCTTCCATCCTGCCGGGTTCAGCAAATTGGTACCATAGATATTCAAGTGGAGAGCAATTTGATACGACAGTAGCAGAGCGCAAGTCATTGTACAAGCCAGATACGAATTCAATCACTTCTACGATGCCATGAGCTGAGCCGCATGTATAGCGCACCCTTCAAGGATTGATCGATACCAAACACTTTACTATTTTACTCAATGAAATGTTAGATGAGAAAACCCAAAAAAAGCACGAACCCGGAACGCATTCATGTCTTCCAATTTAAACAAAATACCTTGAAGTAAGGACTTTCAACAAAGTAGAACAGGACAAATTATCTATGGGATGACACATTTTTAGGATGCTTGGTTGACTATCATTGATTAATCCAAAGTTTTATAAAGCAAACAAAAACAAGCGAAATATTTACCAGAAACTAAATATGGGTAAAAACAGTGACCATCCACGGTATTGCGATTACTCATAAATCATAAAAATCACTGGTGAGATGAAGTTTCAAGGACCACTTACGGTAAGTGGTCAGATTTTTCTTCTCGAGAAAACCAGAACCACATCGATACCCTGTTAGTCTCCTCTCATTCACATCTATCTTGTTACACTTTACTAAACCGACTTGCACTTAATCTCGGCTTGATTAACCAATAAATTCTTTTGAATTCCGGCTAACGATTCCACATCTTCGCCTTCTTCAGCGCCGATGATCTGAGTCGATGGCTCATAGTCGTTCGTCACAGTCGACTAAAGGTCGAAAGTGCGAAGACGCCACATCGAGAAGACGAACAACTGCGGACCATCGACTCGGATCATCGGTTCCGGTGAAGACGAAGAAGTCGAAACATTGGCCGAATAAAGCCTGTATAATAACCTAGGCGTGGGCTGAACAACAGAAAGAAATTTATAGGCTATTTAGCGAGAGGTTAATTGAAAGTCGGTTTAGTAAAATAGCCTCTTGAACCTTGAATATTGGAAAGAGTACTCTATAATACACACACTTTGGATACAGAAGCACAATGGTGAAAACGCTGAAATTAAAATCATGATTTCTGGAACTCGAGTTATGCAATGCATAGCGATGGTGTCCATCCAGAAGCTAGGCGTTTGCACGAGCCAATCGGAACACTCCCCTCCATCCAACACGGGAATGCCTTAACCAAGTTATCTCCAAGATTGCGAACAGAATCGATTAGACCAGCATTAGTGCTGGGGTCCATACAGTAGATGAGATGACGGTCATGTAAGATAATAAATAAGAAGCACCATGATTCTACTAAAGTAGCCCAGAATATCAGGGCGTGAGACTCCTGAAGCGTTTTTGCTCAATTAAAAAGTGCCCAAAATCACATGAAAACGAACGTCAGAGTAGTTTCTCCTGAGGTTTTCATCCAACGCACTATGATAACATTACACGAGTTGTCGTTGAAAAAAGAATAGGCATTTAAAGAGCTTTCTTTCACAGCTTATCTGAAACTTATACTACAAATTATCTATCACCTGTATCACCTGTAGTCCCGTTGACCGTCGAGTGGCTCGAGTGGGCGACAGTAAATCTTCCACTTTTCCCTGTTGCGTGCAAGAGTAGCCCACTGGGTTCTGCTCGTTCTAGGCACTCGTTGGGCATCGTATTTGTCTTTTAGGCTTTTCGTGAAGAACTCTGACGAAGCAGTCGGTGGTCTTCCTGCAGTGCGTTTGACATCCCGAGGAATCTAATCACTAACGGCCCTGGTATTTCCAATAAAATTATAAAATGGCCTCGCTGAAGCAGGCCGTGGATTAATAGAGCCATCAATTTATGAAGAAAGCCAAGACCACGTTAATGTTAGGCAATCAGAACTAAACATTAACAACATCGCACCTGTTCATCAAGCAGAGTTTGTGAAAAAAACGCAGTAACTTGTTGAACTGAAGGGATTTTTTTTAATCCATCGTGTTTACTACTAAAAATAACAAACCTGATAGGTTCATTCACTAGCAATTCTACATAGCAACAACCACTTTCAAAATGATGGACGAAAATTTTTATGAAAGTAAAAGGCGGTGGAACTCGAGACAACGGTAGCGCGTAATTTCACCATAGAGCGCGTTTGCTAAAACAATTTTGCCCCTATCCTTTTACCTTAAAGCCTTATTGCTGAGCAAAGTTCTGTACATTTTTGGTCATGTTAAACACCTTGCAAAGGGTAACCTTCCTCTTCACACCTCCGTACTTATTTTTTTGTTGGTTTATGTTCAGCTGAGGCCTTTAAAACAAAACCTAAAAGGAAAATGAGGAACGGTTTCGAGCAATTTTTGCTGCAGAGTTGACTTCTAACAACACCAACTTCAGAGAGTATCCTTTTTGCTTTTGTCTAGTGAACTGAAGCTGTTGTATGGTGTAATGTTGGTTTTGGAGGTTTTGCACGGCTCACTTTCATCGACGATATCCACTGGAAGACATATGAACTAAATCAACACACAACGACTGTAGAACTTCTGAGGAGCTAGGCACTAGAGCACAACTTTTAGAGGAATACCACCCTAATAAGAAAGTGAAGACGTTTTCTTTCGTTACATTTTACATGACCCGTCATAACATCTACTGCTCGGATCCCAACACTGGAAGCTTTAAAAGGAGGTGCTAAGATCGGCACGAGGTGGACAAGCAAATTCGGCATCATTCATGTTGAACGTTAAGTACCAAGAACACGAAGGACGTATAGTCTAACGAAGTTCCTGTTCTTTTAAATGGAATAGGAATTTTATGACAGACATTAGTTATGTGGTAGCTATTCCACAAAATAGTTACTATTCCTTTATTTCAGTACACACGGGGCTAATCCCATCAAGTGTTTCAGATGAACAGCGCTTTGGCAGCGTGAACTAAAGGATGGACCAACGGTGCAAGCAGGAGGTCCGAGCGCGAAGGCCAGGGCGTACGGTACGCGTCGCGGTGGCGATCGCGGTCGACTTGCGAGGCTCAATGCATCGTCCTCGCCCCACCGCGCGGTAGTGCGGGTGGTGCTAACAAAACCGTCCTTAGTTTATAGCCCTTGTTGTCTGTTTGCTTCGCAGTTTATTGTTGCCTCGTTTCATTATCATGTGTCACTCTTGGAACTCGCACGTCACGATCTCTTAATTGGCTCGCGATACGAGGCTTGGTCATGGGCGTTCTGCCTGATCCGCCACTGATGGGGACGTAAACGTCCTTACACCCATTGTAAACGCTGTGGAGTATAGGGCTGCTGGTCAGCATAGCACGTTGTTGCGCTATGACCATGGTGGCCCTAGTCCATATATCATATAATCACCAATGGTTATACCCGCCGGTGCAAAACTGGGAACGGGCGTAACGCCCCTAACGTCGCCTCATCCATACCCAGCAGCCAATCAATTGTTGATATTACTCCTTATTGACAACTTTATTCATGTGCATTGATAATGTCGTCGTGCATCGGCCTTGGTACATAGTTGTTTGCCTCCTCCTTATCTCATTTCTCACGTGATCCTGTCTGACAATGGTTATGTAAGGACTCGTAGCTACGGATCATGTCGTGAAAGGGTTAAAGCAGAATAGACAATGTATGGGTACAAACGCGTAGGAAAGAGGTGAAGGGATTCATCCATCACTCCTCAATACCAAAAGGGCAGCGTAGTGGAAAAAAAAGTTACCAGAAAACATTAAAATCACTGAGGAATACCATGCACATATCGCGGCCCGACATGTAAGAACTTCTTCAGTCACGATTTTGTGGTAAACCACCGAGGTTAAATCGTATCATAGTGAATATGTGCTCAGAGATGTTATTCCTCCGATGTACAGCATGTGATGTAGTCATCCATGTACATCAAAAACAACCATGCAAGCAAACAAAAAAGTATAGCAAAAGTGTCGAAAGTGTCGGGTACGATCGGTCATATCCACGGTGATGTGAAGCTTCCTGTTTCGTGGTAGTATTGGGTGCAACTACCTAACATGAATAACCTCCTCGAATCTGTCAAGAAAGAACCGTGGCAAAGGTATTCGATAGTGATTACACCCCTACCGAACTCGTATGTATATTTTTTGGACTGTGCAGCATTTCCCGACCAAATCTTCGCTATTCTAAAACGACATCATTGTTGGATGTGTAAAGACGACTTGTCGATTTGATGCTACATCGTCGAAATTATTCGCCACTGCCGTCGAAAAAAAGTACTATGAAAATGTAATGGAACAATATAAAATAGAAAATGATGGACAGCAGTTGCACCATCTTCGTTTCACTGATCACATCATTCTCACAACACGATGAAAAGCTACGCTGAACGAAAACTAGACGGTTTTGATGACATTTAGGAGATTAGCAACGTGCGATTGAAGCCAGGAAAGACAATACTATGCTGTTTCACGCAAATTTGAGGAAGAATCCGCAGCCTTATCCTTGACCGAAGATTGAGGACATAGACCCCTTCCTGCAAATAGCACTTCCTAAGAGCTGTCAGAACACTATGTTTGTTGGATGGTTGAACGAGTGTCAAGACGGTCATGCACACTTTTGATGAGCAAGCTCCGTATCGTGGACGAGATGAAGATCTACTAATCAACTACAAAAGAATCAGATGGGAACTGCTAAAACATGCACTATTCACTTTATTATCAACGCAAGGGCGTAATTGAGGTAACAAGTTCTCACGTATGTTAGTGCTAAATTATTATGTGATGACATTTCGTGGTGAAAGTTTCAGTATAAAAAGCAGAAGGACAAAACTCTTGCTGTTGATCAATCCCTAAGGGGTGTGCCACGCATTCGATTTCATTAAGCATATTTATAAGTGATTAAATGCTTATCTACCGATCTATCGAGCCAGTGGTGCTCTCTTCCTTGACAAGTCAAGTATGCCAACCACGGGGGATGGAGGGCCTGGTGAGCTTGGGGCGTGGGTGGTGATCGTTCCCATATGTATTACAGGGCGCCTCCGACCACTGCGCTACCTGCCCCGTTTAAACAAAAAGTTTCTTTGGACGTGTTTTGCTATTGTGACCATAAATAGTAAAATTTCAATCTTAACTCTTTTATTTACTGCCTTTTTCTTTTTAATGGCAGGATATGTTGCGAAATATAACTCGTATATAATGCTGAGATATTTGCAAAACTCCGTAGCGCAGGTGTATGCGGTGGGGAACGAACGCGCTATTGTCCTTACCGGGAGTAGCGCACTTCACCACCACACCATCCAGGTCCTTCGTTTTGCCTATTTCTCAGCTAGTTCTGTCGATCTTTTGCCATCAGCAATCACCCGCCAACAGGATTGATCTGGGGAGCCCAAATCGTCATTGAAGATCAACCCCGCTGACGGGTGATTGCTGTGGCAAAGAGATCGATAGAAATAGCTGAGAGACAGGCAAAACGAAGGACCCGCATGGTGTGGTGGTGAACGCGTTACTCCCCGGAAAGGACAACAGCGCGTTCGTTCCCTACCGTAGACACCTGGGGTCCAAAGTTTTGCAAATATCTCAGCAACGCTGTGGTTGTAACTCATATGAGTCCGATAAAATTGTTAATTAAATAGTGATCTGACGATCGGGCAAGATTCTCATGTCGACGCTTGATGTAGTAGTACTAGCGCCTCTCTAAATTGTCATTGAAAACACTGGCGGTCTATGGAATGGAGGGAGATTTGCTACCTTGAATAACGACTAGATCGCTGCATCAGCGTTGCGATGATTCCAGGCATTAGTTAATTTTTAGTTGGACTTCGGGATGAAAGCGTTCAAAGCTTAAGATACCATGCTTAAGAGGTAAACCTCTCACTGTACATTGTAGTTCGATGCCTAGTAACATCCTATCGGCCACAAGGCGATAAACGCACTGTTTCATTCTTGTTCATTTACAACGCAGATATCAAAATTGATCCATGGAAAGTGTTGTTTTTTTTAAAATATTGTTTTAAATGAACCGTCATCACATCTACTTTACGGATCCCAACACTTCTTGCATTCGATTCGTTTCCTTGCATCCAACGTGTTGTTTCAGCTCTTGCTTGAAGATTTCGTCTTCTTTGTAAATGTTTTGGAGATAACCGGACTAAGGAGTTCCCACGTGGATTGAATGAGGGCGTTAGGGCGGGAATCGAACTAGTGCCTTTCTTCCTGATCGACGGCATCATTAACCACTGCGCTATCTCCAGCTCACTAGAAGACGTTATTTAAAGTAAATCAACACAGTGATTGTAAAACACTCTGGAAATCTGGGCCTAGAGCACAACTTTTGTGCGGATACTACCATAATTAGAAAGTCTTATCTGGATAATTGGATGGTCCGCCCTCATTGGTTGTGGATGCGGACTTTAGCATAATTCCCACTTTCGTGGAGTTTCGCTGGCCAAGCCATTGTGCTTCCCTGGAGTGCTGAGGCCCTCCTAGCCAGAGCCTGACCCAGGTCGTCACCATCACAGGCAGTCGCCGCCCTTGTGGATCAGGGGAGCTGCGCCACCATGCGACTAGTATGCTACCAGGACGGTGACAGATCCTGGTATTCATTTACTCTTAGCTTTGTTTACTGGTGGAAACGCCGGACTCCTCAGCTTGGGAGGCCCTGGTGGTATGATAAATCCCCTGTTGTACATTGCAGCGAAACACCCAGGAACACCTACCAGCCGCGTTGAGGCGGTAGACCGTTGGGAAGATTATTTTTATTATTATTGCTACCATGTTTTATTTGGGGGGACACATCCTAACTAGAAATTCAAGAAATGTGGTCGAATTTGGTCGTTTGAAGAAGGTGGTTTCTTCAAGTCGAGACAGGGCCGTATCACACTCCACACAAACAGTGGCGTCCACAGTAATTTTCTGCACGATTGAGCTTACTTGCGGTCGATATGGGAAACTTTTATTCAACTATCGCCTCTGCATCTTCGCCCTCTTCAGAACCGCGTTGATCCGAGTCGATCGTTCACAGCTGGTCGTTGTCCCAACGACTGGAGTTTAGTGGAGGGAGCAGTGCTGAAATTGTAACTTTACTTAGTGGTGTCCGTTTACACGGGACGTGCGTTTATTGATCGCTGTCATGCAATTCGATCTACCTTGGCCAGACTGTCCATCATGTGACCGATCAATTTGAGACGGTGCGTAGCGTGGTGGCGTCTTAACAGCCGACTTTCATTAAACCTTGGTAATGTCGAAATGTTAACTAAATGGAAGTTTTATGTCAGTCTCTTGTTACGTAAGTTATGTAGAAAATTATTTATTGTTTTTACCGAAGCCTAATGAAAGCCGATTTTTGAAATAGTGCTATGTCCGTTGAAAGAGTGCGCGACACGGAACTCCACCTCGCTCAATGCGCCAGCAGGTCCTGTCACCAACCATCTTCGGCGTTTTTGGGATTCTCAATAACTATTTGTTAAGAGGAATCTTTGACAGCCAGATAGCTGCGAGCTTCTCTCAATCTGAATGCGAGTATTTGAAGCTGGGCGTAAAATATTGCGGACGACATTATTTTGAAGTGTTCTTCCTGTAGTTTTCATCGTTTCGCGTCCAGATTACTTGCGGTTAAGTGTATCAGTTCAAATCTTTCATATACATGACCTTTCTGTTTTAGAAAGGAAAGGAGAAAAGTCATGGCTTCGCCTTTTGATGATGAAGAAGGAACGATCTCCCAGTGGCATCGTAGTGACAAGTGAGTTTGTAGTAAAGCTGTCTATATAGCCCATAACGATTGCCGTGCGCAGGGATCTTCGTATAGGAATTTTCGGGAACTTTTTTTGTTTGTTTTCTATATGTGGGAATTTTTTCTCTTTTTTTTTTGAAAATGTGCTGTTGCTCGGAAAATTCTGGTCTAAAACTGTTGTAAAATAAGGTATTCAATGCTCAAGATACGACTTACTGTGCTGTATTAACCAGTGAAAAAATGAACACAAAGGATCATTCATCTAGGTAACACCATTCTAAAGTTAACCTTCTCCTAACTGCCTATTCTTTTTCTGTGGCAGACGGTAGGACGTAAATACAACGACAAGAAGGCTGAGATGCGGTTTTACTTCACTCTATTCCAGTTTTGCATTTAGGAAAGCAAAAAGGGAGAAACGACTGAACGTTAGATTGAAGTTTCGACATGTACATGGGCAGGAGTACGGTCGACCTTGTGAGGAAGGTCATCATCCCGTTGGAGAGGTTTGGATGGTAAGTCAGATTGTTTTCAATTGATTATACCTGGATGCACATTTATTTTTGAGGTTGGTTTATCGAAACATTGAGAAATAAGTAATTAATACTAGTAGTCGTTGAACTAGTAGCAAGTGTTGGCGTTGCCATTCACAGCGAGGTTAAATCAACATTTACTGCTTACATAGAGTCATGAATCTAACGCTTTTATTGTGACCTATCTATATGAGGTATACTACCACAGTGAGCTCTGTCCTACGCTTTGTCCAATGTCCTTCTTTAATTAAAAATACGGTTATCGTTGTAATGTTTTATGAGGACTACGGAGCGAAGCAGTCGTCGATGCATGGTCCTTCCAGTTCGCCTTTTCATTCACAAACCTGTAATGAGTATAGTCCGGTTAGTTGGAGCGCTGCTATAATTTTAGTTTTTATTCTTTTTTAGTCTATTTCCATTTTACAGCGTCGAAATGACATTTATGCAGGAAGAATTAATGCAAAAGAAGATGTGCTGGAGAGACTGAACACTTTCCTTGGCGCGAAGAAAAGTTGGTTCCAATCCTTAGTGGTTATTATATTTCTATATAATGCATCCGATTTATATAAATAATAGGCTTCTTAATGGTATTACTGTGGTTAGTGTTCATTTTTGACCAACAAAAGAACTCGTAATTTTTCTGGGAGGTACGTCAACGGAAACGAAACAATGGAATTTTTTGCAAATTTGCTAATATTGTTGAACTATTTTCGATTTATCTTTTATCTGAGATTGAAATCTCGCAATTGGATGATATTCCAAAAAAAAACTGTAGTTTTTGAAGTTTTCTTATTTTATACTTTCCAGCGGTTTATAACCCCGTCTTGGTTGGGAAGTGTTCCTGGGTGGCGGGGTGTTAATCCGCCCACCAGGTCTTCGCAGGTTGAGAAGGTATCCGACGTTACCATCCGGAAACTTAGTTAACAGTAACCCATTACTGGTGCAGGGTCCACCATCGTCAGGGTATCAGACTAGTCGCGTGGTGGCAAATCTCCTTCTGATCCTCAAGGGCGTCAACTGCTTGAGGTGATGATGACGTGGGTAAAACTTTGGATAGGCTGAGCTCAGGACTCCAGGGAACGATAATGGCTAAGCCAGCAGAACTCCGAAAAAGTGAAAATTATGCCGGGGTCCGCATAAGCAGTGAGAATGTGGTCATTCAAGTGCCCAAATATACAAGTTTTATTTCGTAAAGTTTCAATAAATATAAAGATCATTGAAAGGTGGCAGAGGTGTCAGTCAATTAGAGATAGACTGATAAAGGTTTCGGAAGAAGCAAAAGCTTATAAGGAAGTCGGGTTATGAGGTGTGTTTTGTAAGGCAAGTTGTCCCCATTTGTGTTGCGGGAGCATTCCCACTTAATTCATCGGAAACGGGCAGTAAAGTTAGTGCTCTCCGTACACCATCAAGTTCACGGTAATACGTTGCTGCTAGGTTTCCATAATTACCTAATTGTTAGGGAAGGATTTTGTCTTAAAACCGCTAAGTAGTTGGTCTTATTCCCACCTATGTTCTTGTTCAGCTTCAGTAAATTGTTCTTTGAAACGGTTGGACCATTGGGTATAAGATCTGGACTTCACATAACTACAACTGTTCTCGTATAAATGTTTTCCACTACACGTCAGTGATCGATCAACAAAGTGATGATTTCGGTTCATAAGAAAGCAGATTACAACTCTCACCGTTTAATAACGACCTATTAGCTCCTCCGCTTTAACACTTATGGTCCGACATGAGATGATTTCCACTCGAACAGTTTGTAAATTGCGGACGCTATCGGCTTCAAATCAAAATATCTCATCTCAGAGTTAGTTTTATTAGTTGTAATAGAAACCGTTAGATCTAAAAATATTTGCCAATAACATCTCCTGTTCTATCAAGGTGACATTCTGGTTTTATGTGGTCGGAAGTCCTACTTTTCCCAGTTTTTTCGTCATTGCTTTTATTTCTAAAATGAAAGAAATTGAAAAGGCGGTATTTCTTTAATCAGAACACATTAATGTGCTTAAATTCGTTTTTGATGTTAATGACTGCATGAATGAATGAATGACTAATTTCATTTCGAATTGCAAATGTTTTAAGTTTCTTTCCAGTTCTTTGAAAAATTTTAATTCTAAGCACATCTAAAGGCAAAAACACTTTTAAGCAGCCATTCTTACTCCTGGGTAGGAAGAGAACAGTCTCTTTCATAAACTATTTAAATTTTAAACTCGTGCAGTACTACAGTTATCAAAGAAAAATGATTAGTTCAAGAAAAGCCTGCTTCGAATCCTAAGTGTTAAGAGTAGCTCTGAATTTTCTTCCGCGCAAATCCCATTGTTCATACATAGGTTTCCCCCTTGTCTTGGGTATACCTGCCTTCTTTCTTCAAGTTTCGTTAGGTTTATTCTGAAATAATGTCGTTTCTTCATCATTCATTTATCGTTTCTATTTCTCAGTCAAAAGCAGTGCAAAACTGAAATACTCGCGTAAATACTTGATTGTATACTTTTCACATATCGTGCCAACCTGGGCATTATATTTTAATCTGGCTGTTATTTCTCTGGTCTTTTTCACCTGGAGGGCACAAATTCTTGTTAGGTCAATTATATTCTGGGACTTCCGAAAATTATTGAACTCCCATCTATTGTTCGTGACCACAGATGGGTCATTAACTACATGCAAGAGCGGAGCATTGCTATCAGAAAGTTCAGAGAAATTTACTTTAAGTAATTGACAAGCCTGTTTCTGTTTACCTTCTTACTACTTTAGTGGATCATATATCGTGATATTTTTCAGAGGATTTTTCTACCGTTCCGTTGCAATTTGTAACAGTGTTTCCGTACATAGTTACACCGTCATCGATTGGCGACCTTCTGGTTTATCCGGCAGAAATTGCTATCACTAATTTCACGTTTGCAGATGGTACGCTGTACTTTCTTGTGTTTAGCACCCATATTTGTTCTTACTAGACGCTGCAGTTTGCTTGAAATAAGAACAAAACCGAGCGAAAACACAATGAAGTTTCCATAGTGGTTTATTTATTTCTTTAAAAAATGTTTGCGAAACAAAGTCTATAACGGGTGACTGTTGATAGCACCGGCAAAGTAAAAATATAGCTCAAAGAAAGGCTAAGCAAGGGTCTCGGTTGGTGTTGTTGATAGCGCGTGAGCTCTTCGTAACGTTAATCGCGGGTTCGAATCCCAGCTGAATTTCTCCATTTTGCACATATATTAGCACCATTATGGTCGTATCTCCCAGGATACTCTCCCATGCAGTAAAATATAGGTAATAAATAAAAGCTTAAATAGAGTGTGTGTTAAATGGCTGTGTATTACACGAAGCTGGGAAGATAGTTACATATTAATACGTGTTATAAAGTTTGGTTAAGACTACAGACGGTTCTGCCATCCAAACTGGTTATTTAGGACCATCTTCCTGCTGGTCTGCACTAATTAATTTTGATCCTGCAGTGTTTCACGCCAGTGGTCCTCTTTGCGGTCACAGAACCACTGAACAGAACGGTATTTTTTCTTTATAATAGTTTTTTTTTCCTTTAGCAACAAAAGTATGCAAATATTCACTTGACAAATAGATTAGCGATCCCGCGAATATTCGAAAAGTTTGACATTGTTGAAATCTCCATTTGCCACTGTTGATGACTATTGTTTGATGATCTGCTTCGCTCGTTTGAGAGACACTAGAACCGTTACACTTTTAATACGAAGACCTTCACTTTTCTTATGTATGTCATAGAATCGCCCACGGTTAGGTGGAGCAGTACGACTAGTTTGCTTGTTTAGTTATGAAGTGGACGATCAAGAAAGAATATTTACTATTTAATATACTGTATTATGTGCACCGATTGACAGAATCCTTTCGCATCCATTTAGCTGCGCTTCTGGACGTCCCTTCAAGGCATTCTTTAGGAAGAAATCCTCGTACTATTTGGAAAATGTTGATGAAAAAATGCGTCCCTAATGGAATAATTGTTTGCGATGCTGATCAAATGATCATTGTGGTGAGACATACAGTGTTTTATTATTCTGTGTTCTCTGAAAATTAACGTTGATGAAAACGTTGAGTACGGAATTATAAGAAAGCGAGGAGAACGGAAGTTTCCATAGGAGATAAAGATTCATACAAGATTTTTGTGATTGTTTTGATCGGTTTTTATGAGTTTTGTGCCGTGGGGTATGAGTGGCAATTATATTTCTTTTATTTCTGCTTATAGGATCGTGCATTGGCTTTTCTGGCGAGTACGGTTGCACCTGGGGAATTACGTTTATACGAAGGTAGAATATTGTAATAAAGTCTACGAAACAAGATATAACACATTTTATTAATTCATTTTTTCAGAAATTATGTCCCAGATGATCACAGCACAGGACCTTGTAGCTGCTCTTGACTTTCATCGCTCTGTGGTAACAAAAACACCTATTGCTGCTTATCTAACGGCTGAAAATATCGACAAAGAGTTTAAGGTGGATATAGACATTGTTTATTTAGTATCTAAATATCTCAAAACTGAAGTTTAGAACTTTTTCTGCATGTTTTCTTTAAAAGACCTCTTTTTGAGATCGCTTTCTTCGCCTTGGTGCTTATTTGAGAGATTTTTTTCCTGTCGTAATCTTCTATTTTCATTATTCTTCAGGCCAAGTGTTCTTGAGGGATTGACATAACAAAGGTTAGCTGGATCTCTGTTGAATTATTAATAAGTAATGATGTAGTGCAGGCTTTTTAACTCTGCTGCAGTACCATTATTTGTTCGACAGAATCTGTTTACTTGGTCTGGATTGTTGTGTAGGTTAGATTTCTGCGAGTCTTCTATTAGGTGCTGTTTTCTAGGTGTGTGATTGAAAACTTAAGAAGCTCACTTCGCATCTACAAAATGGCGGCTTCAAATTTACATCTATAGCAGTTGCTGGTGGAAATTAGGTCTTCAAGTCAGTTCTTAGCAACCGAGTAATCGCTAGCTCAAAATAGAATGCTCGACTTCGTAGGTAGTTGCGACGTTGGGCTTTTCCGACGTTTTCACGGAGAAAAACCTCGAACATGGATAGTTAAACTGTTTATAAGAATAATAATGGAAGAATAACGATATGCCAATATTGGAACAATACAAGCGGCCTTTGCTGGTAAAGTGTTCAATAATTAAGAGTAAGATTGGTTCGTAAGAGAATGCTTCGAAGTGAAGTACTAGCTTTACCATAGGCTGGTTTAGCAACACGATATGCATCTGTTTTAGGATGGTGGTACAGGAGGTAAGCACATTAGAGTACCCATATGAGGCCGTGTGACCTGACTTGTAATGATAAGAGGATAGTGCTGCACATTATATTTAAACTCGTGATATCGTTCCGATGAGGTCATATTAAGAAGTACGTGTAAGCCTGTAATAACATGGAATTGTGTTGACTGCCCAATGGGATTAATGTGTTAAGCGGTATGTGACAGTAGAATGAGGTGAATGTACAACACTGATCACATGCTATAAGGGTTAGCGATTTGAATTATCTACATGGAGCAAAGGATAAGGTAAACGGAAGAACCACGAACTCTCTAACTAGACGAGTAGGATAGTGACTCACGTGGTCGTTTAAATGTGTTCTGAAGAAGGCGATGTTTTGGCACACATTCAGAATTTTTCGGAAAACATTCGTCGACTGTCGCTTCTTTTTCGCTCGTGATAAGATTAGATTATGGAAGACGACTCTTCCAAACAATTTTTTGCCATTCAAATGTTAGTACGCGTGAAGGCTTTGTACAGAACTGACACAAAACAAAGACTATCTGTTGCAAACAAAATTCCTCAAAAGTGACGTGAAGACATTTCTGTACTCAAAGATTGCCCAGTGGTATGAGAAACAGTGTGTGTGCTCATTACTACAGGAAGATACGATAAAATGAAAGATAGGAACTATTCGGGAAATAGTGCTATAACATCTTTTTTCCAATATTTTCAACGTTTCATATTAACGCAACAGGCTATTCGTGAAGGGCGAGGCGGAACGGTTTTCCATTCATTTTTATAGAAACTTCCGTTCTTGTCTACCTTAGAGAATTGTACCCCTTATTCTTAGTTTGGTTTTGTGCGAAATCCCATTGTGGGTTTTGCATCGATGGGTTCTACTTTGGTGTTTGTTTGAACTGTTTATTAAATACCAACTGACAGAATTCTCTTTGGATTTAAACTGACCACTGAAAATTTTTCTTTAACAAATTGATATACTTACTTACTTGATACTTGAATGGCCCGTCCTCACTGGTTGGGCGGACTCCAGCATAATCTCCATTCTTCGGAGATTTGCTTATTAAGCCATTATGGTTCCCTGGAGTCCCGAGGTCAGCCTGGCCAAAGTCTGCCCCAGGTCTTTACCACTACGGGAAGTCGCAGCCTTTGTGGATCAGAGGGAGATTTACCACCATTCGACTAGTTTGGTACCAGGACGGTGACGGATCCTGGTATTTGGTTTACTCTTAGCTAGGTTTCTTGATGGAAACGCCGGAATCTTTCTCAGATTGGGAAACCCTGCCAGGGGATGAATCCCCCACTGTACATCGCAGTCCGACACTCAGGAACACCTCCCAGCCACGATGAGGTGGTAAACCGTTGGGAGGAACAAGCAAATTGATATAGAATAAATATATCGCTATAATTCAACATCGAACAAGTTTGGAAGAGCTATCAAAATCCTCGAATCTACTTTGTTATTATTAAACTTGTGACGGATGCATCTGCTTTACCTGGTAATTTCAGGATCTTTTAAGCTGTAGAATTTGATCTTGAAATAGTGACCAGTTTGATTTCAGAAATTAAGAGAGGCTTCGAAGTGGTGTGTTTATCATGAAAGCAAACCGCCAAGTCACGAATCACGACAACATTGCGCTGTTGCGAAGGCTTCCATTCTCATGTTAGTTATACTGTCTAGAATACGATATAGACGGTGAAACTCGTACCGGCTAGAGACTTTATACGGGAAATATTTCTGTAAAGATGTATTCTCTTATATATCTCAAGTCCGTACTGCCTTCATTTCTTAAAGACGGCCTCAAAAAACTTGGATAATGTGTAGTTTTAACTCTTTGGAAACCTAGTTTTATATAGTAGACAAAATTCTAAATAGACGTTGAATTTCGTGTTGTTTTTTCCTCAATATTTTTTTCGCACTCTCTCGGAAATAGACCGTTATTCTCACGACCGATTTTCTATTAACCTCGGCATTGATCAAGGAATTTTCTATATTCTAGTTGATCAAGCACAAGGTGTTACTATATTCTTTATTGCGGTAAAGCCGACGTCTTGGCGGTGTCACTTTCTTCGCCTATCAATATACTTTTCCAGACTCCGAAGTGGGCGATACTGCTGAAACATCAGCTTTACTATAATAAAAAATATAGTAACACCTGGTGTCTACTCAAAAGGAATATGCAGATCGTAATTTTTCTATAATTGGAGGACTTGGAGGGTTAAGAAGATAACAGAATTGAAGAAGAGACTTTGCTGTAGTAGTAAAGTGGTATGTGAACCACTATTTGCTGCATGTTGCTGTGCTTCACCATAGAACCACGTTTGTGTTAGCATTTGGATGTTTTCTTTTTTATTATAACTAAATCAGTATTAAGGCGAGAATAGCGCGGTAAATGTGATGCCGTTCATCACTCAGAAGGGTTAACTCACCTAGCTGCTGGTTCGAGCCATCTCTTGGCCTAGCAGCCCCATGCCCACCATTCCTGTGGGGTCGGGAGGTTCGTCAAGGCTTCTCTGCGACATGCTCACACCATGCCACTTCATATGGGAACGCCCTATCACTAGTATCCCAGGGTTTCAAGGGCGGTGGACCTGACCAGCATTCAACGACATTCACAAGGAAGGGAGAACTACCAATCAACGGCCTAACTCACACACAAAATCTTCGAAAACCTTTGGGATTGTGGGTGCAGAACATCGAATAGAGGTGCTGAAATTCGCACAATGTGGTATTTGTGTACTGTGCTTTAAACGGCTTAAGAATTTGGTCTACGTTTCTTAACGTTAATAAGATTGTCGATTTCAGTGACGCAATTTGCTCATTGTGTTTCCGCGCTGATTTGTTCAATTTTGCCGATCTTTACGATGCCGAAGCATATTCGATGAGCAATGTTTGTGTTGAATCCCCCGATACCAAAATTGGCTCTACCAAATCAAAGTTCGTTTTGAAATTTTTCGGAACTTTGCACTTATACCAGTCTTTAGAACAGATTTCACTAATTTTCAGGCATACGGGTAATGTTTCGCTTAACAGAGTCGCTGATTCCGATCATGACGCAAGGGGTACGCTGGCAGTTGGCTAACTCTGTTTTTAATGTTTTGAATAGAACGTTATATTTCACAGATCGGGATTGAAAAATTATAGATGTTTAACGTTTTCCAAACTAAGATTGAACCAGTTTATTTAAAGTATTTCATGAAATTCTTGAAGCACAACTCATTTTATTGTTCTGATGGATTCTACGAACGTTGTCTTTAGCCAGAAGTTGGTCAAATGGTTCGTTTTTTTTCGGAGGAAGTGAATTCTTTCGTTTGGTGTGATTTAAGCACTCGGGAGCCGATAGAACAGTGGTAGTGATCTTGATCATCACGAGCACGGTAGTGCCTCGATCCCGCTCCGGGTTCGCAAGGTATCTCATCCCACTGTGGTCAAGAATTTGGTACGGGACTTATGCGGAAGAGTCACTCTCTGCAATCCAATTGGTAACGCTCCAGCCCGGCTATCTCAGGACTCCAAAGAGAATTGCCCGACCAGTATTCCGCGACATTCAAGATGAAGTAAAAATCCTCAAGCAGCAACCGAAGTCACACGCAATAGTTGGAAGATCTTCGTGGACAATGGATGCGACGAAATGAATTGAATGGTAGAAGTGCTGTGATCCTCACAGTAAACGTAAAGACGGGTCTTATCAAATAAAGAAAATAGCCAATCGCATCAAATTGTGTTTTTACATGCCATGTTTTTTTTCCATTACCTTCCTCGATTTGAAACAGTTCCCATTAAATATTGACATTTGGAACATTATACGAACATATCCATTTACTCATTAACGTGGACTTAAATCCAGCGTGTTTGCAGAGAATTTGCAAAGGAATGCTTTCATGCTTCGCTATAAAGTCGGTTCGCTTGAGGAAGATCCGTTTATACGCCGTACGGAAGGTAGATCTCTTGCCCTTTCTATTTCTTTAAAAAAGAAGTTTCAAACTTCAGTGGAAGTCGATCTAAAGGATGCCATCCCTCGTATGGCACGGATGTGCATGAATATGGATTAAGGCAACGATTGATGATTTGACAGGCAACCAATCTAGAAAAACAGTTCTTTTTGATCGAATTCACCTAGAAAATTAGGCGTAGTTGCGCATATGTTGTAATTTTACCTTTCTTACATTCATTTATTTTTACGTGGTATAAACGCAGGTTAGCACTTTCTGTGATGAGCGTTAGGAAGCAAAAGATCCATTCCGCTCTCAGAAATGTAAAAGAATTCTTTTTTTCCTGGACGAGTTTTGCATTTATTGATGAAGTCTTCATAAAGTGTGTCCTTCCAAATAGAATGTAATCATGGCTCGTTTTTCCATAAGATTTTCACTGATCTTGTAGACCTTCTACACTATAACGTTTACTTCACAATCGAATCAGCACTTGTATTTCCTTCATACTTCGCCCTTTTTTCTCTCGTGCGCAGGTGAAGTTTTTCTGATTGTAGATTTGTACAAACTATATAAAAATGTTTCCAAGTATATGAAGTAAACTAATAACTGTAACTGTATAAAAAATTTCCTCTGATTTGAAAAGTCGACTGTTAATTAAGCGTTCTCTAACCTCTTCGTGTGTCAATACGTTTGCTTACAAAGAGACAAGCTGGGAGAGAGAGCTTAAGGATAGTAGCACTTTCCATTATTCGTGATCTTAAAGTTACTTATTAACCTTTTTTGCTCACCTCTTGCGCTACTACTTCCATCTTTCTCATACTACTTCGTAGATCTATTACAGAACCTGTTTCCTTATTGCCTTATTGTTTTGTCTTTCACTATATTCATATTATCTGTACGTATTGAATCCGTCATCCGTTTATTATTTGTATCGTATATGCGTATAAATGTTTAACTGCTCAAATTTGAGGTAAGCGTCATGGAGACAAACAACACAGGAAGATCCGCATGATACTGATGAACAACTGCATCCTATTATCACATCACATTGGGCACAAACGTTCAGTGCCGATTTCAGAATTCTTTTGTGGAACCCCCACGTCGTCGGTTTACCTGACAACTACTCATGTCCATCACAGCAAGTCGACGATGGAGTTCATCTTTTGGAGTTTCTTTAAAGTGAACGCCTATTTCAATACCTACGTGTTTTCTTAGAACTCTCAGTTGGCCAACATCACAACACACACAAAGCAATCGCGGGCCAGCACTGTTTCGCCTAAGATATTACGTCAGCAGAAAAGATCGGCACTTCAACGCGCATATCGGTGAACAGTTATTCTAATCACTGTTTGTTCAATTTTTACTATATCTCCTGACTAAGATTAAGCCTAAATTTCCGGCGCTTTAGCTGTTAGTGACTATCGGTTGTGAAAAATTACGGGGTGGTACTCGTCATGCACCATCATAATCATTATTTCTCCTAAATAAATTCTTTACAATAAGACTGCGGATTTCTGGTATTTATCTTAGCTTATACGAGTACATGCTAAGTTTTGAATTTATTGATTTCTGGTTACTTTGCCTCGTTGTGATGAGTATAGTTATAGGAGTAGACATGGATATGATGTATAAGCATGCCACGAACTTGACTGCCGAACGGTGACAGCATGAGAAAATAGATGACGTGTAGAAACTACAAACCGATGGACATTTCCATCTGTACAACACTTGTCGGTCCTCACGACGTACTTCCCTTCTTCTGGTCTTCCCGCTGGAATGTATCAGACCTCTTGTGGACGAGAATCACAGAAGTTTCTATAGAATCTTAATCTCTTAATAAGCAGTCAATCAGAAAGAAAGCTTGATTTCACTGCTGTAGACGACTTACCACTAGTGGATGGCTACCTCATCTAAAATCGATGTCGTGACTGATGTCGCATCGAATCGGCGGATATATACAATTATTGAACACATCCGTGTTCGAGAATTGATGAAACGTAGTTACGTCTTAAACGTCGAGCGTTGAGAATCGCAGAACACTTCTTTTCATTTCATAGCCTTGCGATGATCTTCGGTGATAGTAGTTTGCTTCCAATATGAAGATTCGTGAGAGTAACTTACCTCTTTTGCAGTAATGAACACAGGTGATTAGTTTTTAGTCGCAAACTCGTCCATCTATCATTTAGGCGTTCTTTCAGAAGATGTCTTTATCCTTTCGAGATCAATCTGGAGCTCTCTTCATCTATCTTTCTTCTCAACCACAATGATGCTGAGATATTTGCAAAACTCCGGACCGCAGGTGTCTGTGATGGGGAACGAACACGCTATTACCCTTTCCGCGGGCTATCGCGTTCACCACCACACCATGCGAGTCCTTCGTTTGGCCTGTCTTTCAGCTAATTCTATGGATCAATGCCATGAGCAATCACTGGTCAATTGGATTGTTCCGGGGAGCCCAAATCGGCAATGAACCCACTTAAGCTGAGACACCCGCGGTCCAGAGTTTTGCAAATATCTCAGCATCATTGTGGTTGAGTCACACATAATAACCTGCCGTAAAAAATAGTAATAGGAAGTAAATAAAAAGTTAACATTGTGATTTAAACTACAGCCTCAGTGGTTCTATTTCTCATCATGCTCTGCCGTTAAAAATACTAAAATACACTGCATAGAAAGTTGGCATTGTGATTTTCAATTGATAGTGGTAAAAGTTGGCACAAATTCAGGGATAAATTCCTTCGGTGAGAGGTGGTGGACTTTGCTACTGTTCGTTAAATGTTTCTGCATCACTGCAATTATCTTGATTTTCCAGCAATTTTTTAAAACATGTTCCCAGAAATGCATATTGGGGCGAGGTACGCAGTGGTTGGAGATGCGTCGCAATGCGCCAACTATACTGATTTGTTCAGTACCACACTTGCTAACGAAGCCCCTAAGAACTAGGCCCTCTTGAGTCAGTAAATCATCACCACATTTACCTGGAAAAATACCATTTTTCAGCAAACGAAGGAGAGTATCTGAGAGGAAATCTTGGAATTAGTCTAGCAGAGTTGTCTCTCGAGAGAAAATTTGACCAGCACTAAGTGGTATAATTGAAGAGAACAAAATCTTCATACAGCATGCGAACTTGCAACCGAGTCAGCATCCGAAAGAGCTTCTTGGATGACAGACGCGAAAAGGCGAATCGGCCCAAGAAAGCGCTGGAATCTACCTACTTAATGTTACGATGAGTCATAAATGAGACAAAGAATTCTAAGCGGATTATATATAATAAGTAGATTAAAAGTAGAAAGTCACTTAGATTAATGTCAGGATGGCCCATTTTATTCGGCCTTCTGCTCATGTAGAACTACATTTTCCGTATGGATAAAAACAAATCACCACAGTAATCATTGAGTGAAATTCTATTCGTAGAATCTAAGTCAAAAAGGCAAAACATCTTTGAACGGGATTTATTTATTATTGCAGTTGCTAGTCGAAAATAGGCCTTCGAGTCAGTTCTCGGCACCGAATAAGCACTAGCTTTTAGCAGAATGCTCGACTTCGTGAGAAAATGTCACGTGAGACTTTTCGTAGTTGTCACAAGGCAATACCTCAAACTTGGGTATTTAACCCGTCATACACATAGATGTAACATCATTACAACACTAATATCGACGGAAAACTACTGGCACACAGATAAAGCAAGTTCAAGGCTATGAGGTGCTGTACGCACTACTAAAGCGAGGCTTTCGAAGGCATAAAAGTATTGTAAATAGTTACAACATTAGTACTACGATAACAGGAACTTGATAACAATGACAAGTAGGCGGATACGAACAATGGCGCCCGTACTGGCGCGTACAGTGGTCCAGATGCCGAGGGCAAGAACAACAGAAGAGTGAGATGCAGACGAGCCGTGCATTAGGCTAAGCTAGAGATCATATGTACAGCGGTCAGGTGTATTTTGACATTGATCGGTGAGGATAGCAAATTACCTAAGCATCGATGGTGGAAGTGACTACGAACGAGATGAGATATCTGCGGAACACGGTCAGGCGGTTGCTCTTGGGTAACAATATGTCTGCAACGTGAAGTTTGAGCATCGATGGGTGCCACCATTGCCTAATGTGGTAACTTGGTCCATAAATAGTACGACTGAGAACTGATTAGCCGACTATAGCGATATAACATTTACATAGCATAAACTGGCCGGGCAGCGGCCGTGTACGCATAGCGTACATTGTGGGAGGAATGGTACATGCCACCGATGGCGCTTCAGACAGAACGCATTTGAGGATAGCCGCCGCTAATGACAACACACCGCAGACCAATTGATAAACAATGAACATTGACACGAGGATGAGAATGAGGATTAGGATGGTGATGAGGAGGATACACTGGGCTGATGGAAAGTGTGAAGTAGTGTCGGTGATGCTAAAATGTACAATTCGCAACTGTCATTTAACAATGATATCATGAAGTTAATGTACAATAATGACTACGCGCTGTACGACTTAACAACTACGACAACCTACATTGGTGACACACGAGACCAATACGGTACAGTTCTAAGGAGCCGGGAAACCCCGACACGGGTGAACCTGGATAGTCGACGAACCCGGATAACAATTAACGAGCCTATTTATATGCTTCTGGAAAAGGCGGTATTTGGCACAGGTCCAGCATCTTTACCGAAAACATTCGTCGGCTACCGTCCCCATATCCTCTCAAAACCACATATCATCTGGTGGAAGACTGCACTCGCAAACATCCTCATGCCCTTCTTGTTATTGTACGCGTGATGACTTTTGGACAGTAATAACAAACAATGTGTTCAGATTGCAAAAATAGGTTTGCATAACAAGACTGTTTACAGCGATCGAAGTTGCTAAGGATGGGATCGAAATATTTACGTACTACGACATTTACTAGGCAACATGAGAAACAGTGGCTATGATCCTTAATACTGAAACATACAGTAGTAGAAAGATACAAATATATATAGAAAGAAATAGAAACTATTCTGGGAATAGTTGCTATATTTATGAACCATAAACAAACAAACCGACATAATCCTCTGCCGGCGAATTTCCTTTGAAATGTCCAACTAAGGAGATGATAATGATCATCTATAAACG